AACCTTCATGGAAAGCAGTTTGCACTGCTGAGAATAAATCTCTATTTCTGCTCATGTATAAAGATCTAAGAATAAATTATTTGATAATGTTTATCCTTGCAGCATGTGTGAAAGTCTTCTATCACTCATTAGACGTTTGGCTTTCAGGATAAGCAGATGACTACTGGCTGCTGGTCTCTTCACTCAATAGGAATGCTCTGAAGGCTTACCAGAGTGAATGAGTTACTCTTCCCCTCCCTGGGCAATAAAGGGCCATTGCCTAAAAGGCACTGTGGAGCCCAGGCCTGCTTCTGTGTGCCAGGATGCCTCTGTTTGCCCACCAGCCCTGTCCTGGCAGGGTGGAATCACCTCATCCACCACCATGGTGTTCCCTGTCTGCTCTTCCCCAACAACTCTGTTTGGGGAACAGATCTCCTGGAGCTGGGGCTCCTTCACACTGCTCCAGGGTCCCACTCTGCTGCTTGGCTTCATCATGGTGTTCCAGCTGAAATCCTTGCTGGCATCCCAAGGACAGCCTCCCATCAACCAGGCAGAGTGAAGGACACGTGCCCAACCTCCACGTGCCACCAGTTCCATGACAGCAGGTCAGGCATTGTGCTGCCAAGCTTTAAACCTCCGCTCTCTTCCAGAAACAGTTGTATTCATGCTCCCCCGTTGCAAATCCTGCTCCTTCCCTGTGGTTTGGAAGGAGCTCTGACAGGTTGCTTCTCTTAGGGAGATCATCTCTTTGAATGTCCAGCCCGAAAGGGGTTAGGTTTTATTAATACTGTTGGGAGTGGGATTTTTAATGCTAAATAAGCTTCAGTTTGAGCCAAGGAGGCCAAGCATCATGGGCAGCACAGAAAGGGATTCATGGCGAGGATTCGTGGAAGTTAAAGAGGTTTGGGTTTGGTTTTTTTTAAGCAGTGATTAATCTCCCTAATGCAGAGCATTTTCTGTGATGTCAGATTAATGAGTCAACACTCGCACGGTGCTGCCAAGTCCCTCCACTCATTCAGCTCCTGGAGTCCAGAGAATTCCTGCTTTATATTCAGAATAAAATGTGCTGAATGCCAGAGAGAAGGACTACAGTAGGAGATGGGGATAAAAGCCCCTCAGGGTAGCACACAAAGGGACTCAGCACATCACCATTCTCACACCAGAGGTTCTGGAGCCCCATCTGCAAACCTGTGCCTACACCAGGCTCTTCCCACCTCCTACCCTGAGATCCCTCCATGCTGGATGCTGCAGCGCATCTCAAGGTTAGGGACACAGACACTGCCTGCAAGGACAGGCAGGGCTGGGTGCAGGCAGATCCTGGCCACGGATCGGGCAGAAGGCACCAGCAGCATTGGGGATAGGCTGCAAACCCTTATCAGGGCATCCCAGAGGGCTCCTTGTGCTGTGCATCTCTGAAGAGTCATCCCACAGTGACAAATTTCAGCCAGGCCTGACATGAACCAAGAGCAGATGGACAGAGGCTGGAAAGCAGATGGAGAGAAGGAAATTTGGATGTCATCTGAAGGCCCCAAAGTGTTTCATTAGGAAAACACACATCACAGGCAGCTGTCTCAGCAGCCGTGAATGCAGAGGTAGAAAGGAGAGCATGCAAGAGGAGGCAAAGCATCACTGCTGCTCATGACCAGGTCACAGTATGCTCCAGTCACCAGTGGGGACTGGACAGACAGAGTGATGGGCAAGGCATGCCATCAGTGCTGTGCTCAGAGCAGGGCAGTGGTACTGGGCCACAGCACCACAGGCTCCTGGGTGGCTTGCCAGGCTGCTTCTCATCTCCATCACCCTGACTTCCCTCCTTCCCTGACATACCCATACCGGCTCCATGGCTGCCTAGGGGCAGCAGGGCAGGCTCCAGCACCGTGACTCCATGGATGAGTGCCCCAGGGTCCTGTGACTTTGGTGGTCCCCTGCCTTTGGGCTGCCATGGTTCACAATGCTGAGATGAGGGCAGGAGCTGTGTGCCAGTGAGCAGGATGGGGAAACAGGGGAAATGGGAGCAGGTTTGCTCTCTGTATATTGGTTTTCTGCCAATTTCTTCTTCAGGAAAAGAGAAGGCTCCAGGGAGACCTTAGAGCAGCTTCCAGTGCCTAAAGGGGTCAACAAGAAAGCTGGAGAGGGGCTTTCTATGCGGGCATGTAGTGATAGGACAAGGGAGAATGGCTTCAAACTGACAGCAGGGAGATTTAGATTAGATATTAGGAGGAAATACTTCCCTTATTAGGAGGGTGCTGAGGCGCTGGCACAGGGTGCCCAGAGAAGCTGTGGCTGCCCCATCCTTGGCAGTGCTCAAGGCCAGGTTGGACACAGGGGCTTGGAGCAAGCTGCTCCAGTGGAAGGGGTCCCTGCCTGTGGCGCGGGGTGGAACTGGACGAGCTTTAAGGTCCCTTCCAACCCAAAGGCGTCTGGGATTCTATGATTCGACACCCCTCTGCTGGGCAGTCAGTCCAATTGCTCGATATTGTGGCAGAGAATCGCAGCGATGGGCAGGGACGAGGGCTGGCAGGAAAGAAAACTAAACCTTACACGTTTTAAAATCTAGAAGAGCTGGACAGGACACATATAAAAAAGTATCACTTATTTTTACATAAGGCAGCACAGGCTGGGATTCAGGCTCGGAGACATCCCAGATCAAAGGTTTCTTGGTCTAAATTCAGCCAATTTTTTCTCATGCATTTTGTGACGTGTTGTGGTTTAACCTGAACCTGCAACGAAGCACCACATTGTCTCACTCCCCTCGATGGGATGGGGAGAAAACCAGAAGGGTTATACCCGCTCTGGTGTGCACTTATCCACAGCCACAGATGCTTCAGGGTGTCCTGCTCCCATGTGGACTCACCCACAGGTCACAGTCCCTTCGCCTCTGGTTCACATTGGAGTTCCAGCCTGTGCAGTGCAGCATCACACAAACAGCAGCGATCCCCTGGGCATCTACCAGCCCAGGCACGTGGCCACTGCTCTTATCAAAGCATTCCCAGGCACAGCAGAGTTGGATGATAAGCAGTAGAGCAGGACAACAAGCACTGGAAGCAAAAAGCAGCCACTAACTGATAGCGGAATAGACTTCACAACTCGTTAAAGTTGTAAAGTAGGTATGCTTTATTCAGCTGAAGGTGCACGGGGGATTGATCCTCCAAAAGGCATGCGTGCCTCAGTGCCGTTTTCCTTCTACATTTATCCTATAAAGTCATACATATGTATTAGGTTGCACAATACGCCTATACATATTCATATTCTATCCCCGTTTCGTATTATAATGAGCTAAAAGGCACTCCACGCATGCGCAGTGCCTCCTGGTGGTCTTGGGCAGGGGTCTTCAGATGAAGTAAGTAGTCTTCCTCTTGTGGGTAGGGGTCTTCAAGATGAAGTAAACGAGTCTTCCTCAGGCTTGAACTTTTTACCTCTGGTCCTCACGCATGCTCTTTAGGAGCCGGATGGGTCTGGTCTATGTCCAACTGATTTAATGAGCTATTCTCTTCATTAGGAGGTTCTATCCTGGTACTGCCTGATAAGGCATTTGCTGAGCTTGTCAAACAAGCTATAACTTAAGCAGTACCCCCTTGTACAACCCCCCTGTACATTTTCTCTAACCCCCTTGTACACAATAGGCCACATCAGTTTCACTAACAAGCACTAGACTTGTATATATAGACTATATAAACACAGTATGTCAAGCAAGCCCCACCGCAAGCACAGGAGCCTGATAACTAATAGCTAAATAGCAATAACAACTATAAATTTCATCTAGCATATTCCAATCAAATCTGTCAGTATCGTGAACCCTTCCAGCCCCACGCTGGGTGTCAAAACCACTTCCAGCCGCCACACTGAGTGTCATAGTTTAACCCCATCTGGCAACTAAGCCCCATACAGCTGCTTGCTCACTCTCCCCACAGTGGGATGGGAAGAGACTCAGAAGGGTAAAAGTGAGACAACTCCTGGGTTGAGATAAAGGCAGTTTAAAAGGTAAAGCAAAAGCTCCACACGCAAGCAAATCAAATTAAGGACTTCATTCCCCACCTCCCACCACAGGCAGGTGTTCAGCCACGTCCAGCAGAGCAGACTCCATCATGTGTAATGGTGACTTGGGAAGCTAAATTCCATCACTCCAAACATCCTCCCCCCTTCCTTCTTCTCACAGTTTATATGCTGAGCATGATGTCCAATGGTATGAAATATCTCTTTGGTCCAAATATGGCTCCAGGCCACCTACTGTGAGCAAATTTAACTCTACCCCAGCCAAAACCAGCACATGATCCACCCTTATTCTATAGCACATGTACACCATGAAAGCCACTAAAACCCACGTGCATCTGTGCTCGGCTGCTGTCCTGATCTGGGTGTCCAAAGACCATGCCCAGAGGGGAGCCACAGGGCTTATAAGGACATTCACTCATATATTGCTATAAAGCAGTAGGAGAAAGTCACATCCTAGTCGCTAATGCACAGAAACAGTCACAGTCAGTTCAGCAGCTCTATACACCTGTGTCAGAAGACCCCATTTTGGCCCAAAGCTTGGAATGATGCTCAGGAGTCCATGGCAAGGCTGATCCAGTGAACAAAGTTGCTCCTGAGGCACAGCAGAAGACTGAGCTGCTTGAACAACAGCTCCTGTTAACATCTCCTTCTCACTTAGAGGCAGGTTTTAGTTTGTGCTGTGCCTGGATGACAGCAGCTTTTTTGGGCTCTCAAGTTTTAACAGGTTTGTGCAGCTGGAGGACTAAAAACCCATAGGAAATCGCTCATTTAAAGCATGCTGACTTGCAGTGGCCTGTCTCTGTAACAGCACTTGTCAGTTTGCCTTCCTTCCCCATCCTGCCGAAGAGAACTTTATCCCCTGCAACACTCCTTGACCCTGAACTTCAAGGAGGAGCCATGTGTGAGAAGGGACCTTTGCAAATAGAGCCTGCAGACAGCCACAGGGAGACCTCAGAGCCCCTGGCCTCCCTAAGCCTCCCTTCCCCACAACTAAAAAGAAGATGCAGGTCTGTCTGCAGTGAAATACCCACTGATCACAGTTTCCAGATGCCGAAGACCTGAACTGAATTTGCCCATGTTCTGCATGTGCATCCACATTTGCCCTTCAGCATCAGGGCCTATGGGATTCACACAAAGGAGCTATGGAAAAGGTGGAAAAACCTGACAGTCTGCCCATTTTTCCTCTTGAGCAGCACCCAGGTTCAGAACTGGGTTCTCTGTCAAGAGAGGTGTGATGAGGATGAGGTGATGGGAGAGGGAAGTGTAACAGAGGCAGACACTTCACAGCAGCATCCTGAGACACCCCAGTCCTGCCACAAACAGCTGGTGCATAATAAATTCATGATATGCATATTTTATGCTGTTTTCATGAGACACTCACATATGGCCATACCTGCTGCTGGCAGGGCTGGAGAAAGAACGCGAAGTTCACACCAAGGGCTCCTCTGACAGCAGATTATAAGGAATAATCACTGCCCAAATATTAGCCCTCAACAAGACACACAAATTACAGGTGATTATTTTTTCTTGGACTGCCAATAAAAGGCCCATGAAAGGTTAGCAGAGCTCTGCTTCACATCTCACAGATTGTGAATAATTACAGCCTTCAAACCTTTGTATGGAGAGACCTGAGCCTTTTGCCCTTAGGAGGAAAAAAGATGAATTGTAGTTTCTTCTTAGGATGCTCCTCCCACCTTCTGCCATGGAAGTGGTATGAAATGACTGTGATAGTTCCCTTTCCCCATTTCTCTCTTTGTCTGAAGTGCCCAGGAAAAAGCACCAAAGGTTTGAACTACAGAGCTGCAATTTCCAGTTCTGTAGTGCCAGCTGATTTGGTGGATCAGGGCAGAAAATAATGCATTTGAGACATGAATCCTGAGTTCCCAGGGGTCAGGAGCACTCACAACACTGTGTGAGAAAGCCTATTGATTCAGAGCTTGAATGTGCAGCTGCATGTGTGCTCATGCACATCAGAAATAGGATTGTTACGTCAAGGGCATCAAAATAACAGGACAAAACAGAGAGAGGTCAGGGAACTGGGATCAGGGAACTGATCCAGAAGGATGAAGAAGGTAATTGGATCTTATGTGCATCTCCTTTGAGCAACGTCCACCAGCCTGCCTGGACTGTGTAAGAGGTGAGGTTTATCTCTGGTCACTATGTCACTGTTGTACAGCCACTTCTTGCCTTCCAGGATTCCCAACAGACCATAAGACATTAAGAAAGCACAGGGCTGAACCACTCTAAATGCAGGCAAAGTCAGATAGGTCCCTAAAATGCCCTGGAATAGGGAGAGGTTTTGTTACTATCTTTCTTGGCATCAGGCTGGTCCTAACCCAGCCAACAAGCCCCCTAAGGCTGTTGCCACCTGCCAAAAGCTTTGAGATATCCTCCCAGAGAGGGCCATCATATAATCAGGCTCTCATTTTGGGGAGAGTGTTGCTTTTGGGAGTGGGTTTGCCTGATTGTCTCATTACAGGAGAACCCGCTCCCTCATTTGCTCTTGTTTGCTGCCGCCTGACATCCCAGCACCCAGGATGGGGAAGTCCTAGCTCAGTTTTTTGCATGCAGAAAACCAGGTCAGAAAGTGCAGGGACTGCCTGTGCTCCATATGGCCCTGACCAGGCTGGTTTTCATCCATTTCTAGGGCATCATGTGGGGATATTCTCCCCAGAAAAGGCAGGGATATAAATACCAGCTGAGGTCTCAGAGCTCAGAGGATACACAAACAGTGCTTCTGCATGAAGAATTTATTTTTTCCCAGTTGGAAGGGGGAAAGAAATTCCTTACAGTAAGATGCAGACACATTGAAATGGGTGTTATCACCTACGAGAGAGCAGCTTTTATGGGCCATGAGGAAAGTACCGAAGATCCTTCTGGAAAGGCAGTTACTTATGGCTCTGATCCTGAAGAGCATCCTCTTACAGGGAAGCCCTTAAGAACAGGCTTAGCTTTCCTTTTTATCCTCGAACTTCAGGACAGGTTTATGCACTATCTTCAACTGAGCACAGGATGTTTTAGCAAGAACTATCTAATTGGGTTGCTTCCAGCAAGTCTTAGCATGCAGCTCTCCTACCCCATAGGCACCAGCACAGACATTCCAGATGAATGCTCATACCCAAGGTTTTAAACTTTAGGCCAGTGAATCATTATCCTCTCATGAGAACAGGAGTGGCAAGTAACAGGATACAACTGTAGTGGGGAGAAGACCTTTATGGTCACGTGTTGCAACCTGCAGTTATGGCAAAGAAGATACAAATGACTTAAAACAAATGGGTTTTCCCTATATTGCACATCTTTGGTAGGAGAATCCATCCTTTATTTCTGTGTATACAAAGCTTAATGCAGTTATACTGCTGTCCATGGGAGAGGCTCAGAGATACTATTGTGTTCTAGCAATAAATAGCTATAATACTGTTCCCATATACCTGTTCCTGAGGAAGCACTGGTGCTTGTCCTCTAAACAGAACAGCTGAATGTTGAAGACCACAAGTGTGAGAAACAACCCAGCTTTTGCAGAACAGCTTTTATTTCAGTAGGCTCAGGGCAAGGTACAACACATCTCTGTGTCGGGCTGCTCAAGCCTTTTGAATTCTCTACACAGAGCTGCTGGCCACTGCAGCCTGGCTAATGGTTAAATTTACCTGCAAGTATCTCCTGGTGATATTGTATGAAAAGACTACAGCAGGGCTGGAAATCAGTGACTTTACCTGCATAAATTTTTTTCTAAAGCAGACAGAAAATACTCACGGAACTGAAGAAATCTTCCAAGCAATGTTCACTATAACGGAAGAGGTCACTCATTGTTGTACTATACGAATCAAGCTTTAATTACATGAGAAAAAAAGTGAGAAGCAAGATTTCCCCCACTTCTTAAACTCATCAGTTCCTTTGTTACAGACTAACTCAGGGCAACATCTGCAGGCAATCGCAGTGTCTTTGGCAGTAGCATTACTGATACTGATGCTCACAGGACTGAAGCATTAGGGGACCATGAGCTGCTTTTCATTCAGCTGGGGAAAATCACAGTCTCCACGGGATACTTTGTGTTGGAAGGGACCTTAAAGCTCACCCAGCTCCAGCCCCTGCCGCAGGCAGGGGCCCCTTCCACTGGAGCAGCTTGCTCCAAGCCCCTGTGTCCAACCTGGCCTTGAGCACTGCCAGGGATGGGGCAGCCACAGCTTCTCTGGGCACCCTGTGCCAGCGCCTCAGCACCCTCACAGGGAAGAGCTTCTGCCTAAGAGCTCAGCTCAGTCTCCCCTCGGGCAGGTTCAAGCCATTCCCCTTGGCCTGTCCCTACAGGCCCTTGTCCCAAGCCCCTCTCCAGGTTTCCTGCAGCCCCTTTAGGCACTGGAGCTGCTCTAAGGTCTCCCCTTCAGGAGCCTTCTCTTCTCCAGGCTGCCCCAGCCCAGCTCTCTCAGCCTGGCTCCAGAGCAGAGCTGCTCCAGCCCTCGCAGCAGCTCCATGGCCTCCTCTGGCCTCGCTCCAACAGCTCCAGGTCCTTATGCTAGGTGCCTAGACCTGGAGTAAATGCGGCCTTACATTTACAATGTATCACATCTACACACCGCAGTACATACTATAAAATAGCAATACAATGTGAGATCCAGCAAACTGAAACCGTGAGTTCATTGATGTATTGGGACGCCTTTTCTAATTCAGAACGCACATTAACGGCAAACTAGGACATTAAAACTTGCTAACTCGGGGCTGTTTTACTCCATCGCGCATGAGCACAGCAGCGCCCTGCGCATGCGCAGCGCGGAGAGCCCCCCTCAAGAGCGCACGTACGGAGGCCCGCGCATGCGCATAGCCCCTCCTCCCGCCTCAACCGCCCGTACCTCGCCAACGCCCGCTCGCGGGAGCGTGATGACGTAGGTACGCGCGCACCTTCTCTCGCCCAGCTGCGCATTGACGTCTGCGCCGTTGCTCCGCCCCTCGGTATAAAAGCGCAGGCAGGCGGCAGGCGCGTCATTGTGGTGCGGAGCGGTCCGAAGGCAGAGTAGTGTGCGGGCCTGAGCGCCGCGCCCCTCTCGCCGCCTCTCTCTATCTCTTTCCCTCCCTTTCTCTCTTTTCTCCCCTTCCTTCCCTTTCCCCCTCCGCCGCGGACATGCCGCGCGTCTACATCGGCCGCTTGAGCTACCACGTCCGGGAGAAGGACATCCAGCGCTTTTTCAGTGGCTATGGCCGCCTGCTCGAGGTCGATCTCAAAAACGGGTGAGCGCCGTCCACCGGCCTGAGGGCCCCTCGGCCCGTGCTTCCCGGCCCGGGGCCTTCCTCCCTCCCCCATGTTGTGGGCCGTTGCCGCGTGGCGCCCGGCTCAAGATGGCGGCGGCGCGGGGGGAGCGGGGGCGCTGCGGCGGGGCCGGCTCCATTGTCCTGGCTCCGAAGCCGCGGGCGGCTGATGGCGCCGTTCTTCTTCCTGTAGTTACGGCTTCGTGGAGTTTGAGGACTCCCGAGACGCCGATGATGCCGTTTATGAGCTGAACGGCAAGGATCTGTGCGGGGAACGGGTGATCGTGGAGCACGCCCGCGGCCCCCGCCGCGACAGGGACGGGTATAGCTACAGTAGTCGCAGTGAGTACGGGCCCGTCTTTCTGCGTGGTTCTGAAGCTAATGCGGGCGAGGGGCAGGAGGCGAGGGGAGGCGGCTCGGCTGTGTGTGGCAGGGCAGAGCCGGGGGTGAAGGAGCGATGGGACCGAGTCCCGCGGGCTGGGGTGGAGCTGGGGAAAGGGGGGGTGCTATTTCGGGGAACACCTCGCGGGGGGGTACCCGGTGCATGGCGGGGAGCAAGCTGCAGGCCTAGCGCCGCAAACGTTCTTCCTGGCACCAGCCGTGCACTTGGGTATCCCCTAAGAAACTTACGAGGGCAGATAGGTTGGGAGATTAGAGGGCAGTTCTGGCTGCAAAGTTGTGGCCTTCTAGAAAAGGTTTCTTGTTAATTACAGGCGGAATGCTCTGCTAATTTCAGAGCTTCTGTTTTCTTGGGGTGCATTTAAATCGAACAGTGATGTATCACTGATATTAATAAATACTGTTGCATAGTTGGGTTGGAAACACTCAGCTGTGAATATTTCAGTTGAATATACAGAGGGGGTGGGGGGAGGTTTTCAAGTAGGAATCTGTTGGGCTGAGTGGGGGATATTGTAAATAGTTCCACGTTCAGCTAATTCGTGTAGCTTCTTGAGCTGAGCTATATAGAGCTGAACCAGCCTCATACTGTAACTTCGAAGTACTGAGGCTCATCTTTGGTTAATCTCTAGGAGCTTGGTGTTTGGGGGGGGTGGGTTTCTGTCTTAAAAAAATCAAATGTATGTTGTTTAAAATTGTTGCATGTTCAATTCAAACTTTTTAACAAGTCCTTGATGTTTCAATTTAAAAGTGACCAGTGGGGCTGAGGCTGTGTCCACTGAGGCTAAGATGACTGCCTTTCCTGATTGGCCATGGCTTTTCCATACATTGTGTGACCCTTGCCCTATGACCCTTTGGCTGACCTTACCGGAAGCCATGACGACAGCAGCCTTTTGCCATTAGACGCAGGGTGATGGTGAGGATTCCAAGGGTTAGACAAAACTGGTTAAACTGAACTAGGTGACTGTTACCTTGCGTGTTTTGTGGCCAAACCACCACCAAAAACCTCATACTGTGATGTAAGTACTTAGTGTAACTAGTAAACGTTTTTGTAAATTGTAGAAATGCATGTAATCAGTTAAGTTTTATATTTTACAATGTTCTGTAAAATAAAACTTAGCAAGGTGAATCTAATAAGGAGCAGTCACTCTCTAACAGATCTTAGGAGCACAGACTTGTAGGATTTTAGTCTGTTTGATTTGCCATTAATGTAGATCATGGCAAAATTGCAAAGTTTATTGGAGGCTTAGAGAAATAAAGTCCTACTCCAGTAAATATAACTGTTTTAACTAACTTTTTCAGAACATTTAGTTTTCTTCATGCTAGGAGACAATCTAACTTTATTTCTTTGTACAATAAAGGTGGGGGTGGTGGCGGATATAGCAGTCGGAGACAATCTGGAAGAGATAAATACGGACCGCCTGTTCGTACAGAATACAGACTGATTGTTGAAAACCTTTCCAGTCGCTGTAGTTGGCAGGATTTGAAAGTAAGTATTAATGTTCTACCACGGAGCCTGTTGTGACTAGCAGGAAGCAATGGCTTCCTTTAAAATTGATGTTCCTTTTGATTTAGGTGGAAGTAATTGAGATACTTGTGGGTGAATATTTACACGTAATTAATGCTTCTGTGTTTGCTCAGACTTAAGCTCATGTACTTGTGAAGCGTAAGTGTGGCGAATGGTTACACAACTCTTCATCTGCTCTTTGCAGGATTTCATGAGGCAAGCTGGTGAGGTAACCTATGCAGATGCTCACAAAGAGCGCACAAATGAAGGAGTGATTGAGTTCCGATCCTACTCAGACATGAAGCGTGCCCTGGACAAACTGGATGGCACAGAGATAAATGGAAGGAAGATCAGGCTGGTTGAAGACAAGCCACGGTCAAGCCATAGGCGATCATACTCTGGCAGCAGGTCAAGGTAACTTTTGGGACAAGTCAGTCTCTGTATCAAGTTACTCAGGCTAAAAATGGGTCTGGGTAGCCCTACAAGCAAGAGTGGCCTTCAGCTGATTTAGGAAGAGGATGATGCCTGAGAGTGTAGAAGGAATTATTTTACATACAGCAAAGGCAGGTTTGAGAGTTTTTCACATGTGAAGCATCAGATGCAATTAACTGACAGTGTTATCAGATCCAGGTGTATTGGTAGTACATCTTGATGTGGCCATACTTGTTTAGAAGTTCTTGGGCAGCTTTGCTGTGTTAGCAGAGCACACTAGGCAAGGAATGAGGAATAAATTACATGTTCCATGTTTCTAGGTCACGATCTAGACGACGGTCTAGAAGCAGAAGTCGTAGAAGTAGGAGCAGCCGCAGCAGGTCCCGTAGTGTATCCAAAAGCCGTTCTCGGTGAGTTGATCCCTTGTTTTCTGTTAGTACAGGAATTGCTGCTTATACATTGATAGATACTGCCAACTGCTGTAAGTACGCTTCATTTCATGTAGAATAAACTTTGTCTCTTTTTGAAAGCTCTAAATCCAGGTCACGAAGCAAAGACCGCTCACGTTCCAGATCTAAAAGCAGGAAGTCTAGATCAAAGAGCAAATCCAAACCCAAGTCTGACAGGGGTTCACGCTCTCACAGCAGATCCAAGGAGAAGTCTGAGAAGTCTCGATCCAGATCCAGGTCCAGGTCTCGATCTCCCAAAGAAAATGGTAAAGGAGATGCTAAGTCTAAGTCCAGGTCAAGGAGTAGGTCTCGTTCCAATTCTCCGCAGCAGCAGCCATCTGCCAAGGCTCGTTCAGAGTCACCACCCAAAAGAGCTGCATCGAGGTCCCGCTCCAGATCTCGTTCAAAATCTCGCTCACGATCAAGATCTAGTTCAAGAGATTAAGACTAGAACTCTCCTCTTACATTGCACACTATTATGGAACACTTTCCTACTTGTCAGGCCATTAGTGTTATGTTAGTACTTGAGAGGTTGGGATTTTTTTTCTCTTGCAGGAGCAAATGGCCTAAGAACTAAGTTGAGGCGTAAAGATTTAATTTGTATCCCAGATTGGAAATTAAAGAGCTCGGATGGTGGTACAAAGCACTAAAACTCCCCCTTTTGTAGAAATTCAGCTAAGACTTTGATTTTATAGCATTTCCACAGGAGTAACTTAACTACTCTTAAATGCAAAGTGGTTTTTTATAAAGAAAAAAAAATGAAATAAACAGGCTTAAATCTGGGCTTTTTTTAAACTATCATTATTATTTTTTTTTTCTTGCTTCATGGTCTTAGAACTATGGATATCATTAGCTTACAGGTTCCAGCTTGCTGGCAAGGGCAGGGTAGCCTTGCTGGTCAGCTCAGAGAATTCTGTTTCAGCTTAAGTTGTGGAAGCAGGCTGCAAACTACATAAACTGGTAATGATACTGGGAAGGTTTTAGATGAGCAATAAACCCAAGTTGGAGCGTGTTTGTTGTATCTTAACTTGCCAAAAGAACATTCCCCCACCCCAATACTGTGACTGTATTAAAGGTAATAAGGGTACTCTGGAACCTGCATCATACAGTATTGCTGAAACCCTCTGTGTTTCCTACTTGAAAAGAAGGAAAGCTTTCTGACTTCTTTTTTTCTTTTTTTTGCTTGAGTGTCAAGTGTCACTCTGTTGTCACACTCACGTGTCTCTTGGATGTGGTCCAAGTCACTAGTATGTCATACGGTTTGTCAGCCTCTAAATACCCATTGGATATGAAAACTAGCTAAAACAACACTGTCTTCCCTCCTTTTTGACTCATTTATGTTAACATTTTTGCTTCAGATGAGAACTATAATCCTGTTGTGTGTAAGTCTGAACTTTTATGGGAAATGTAGTCTTTGAGATAGAGTTCTAGTCTTAACAAAGGCTTTGCTAAACCACAGTTGCCAACTCACTTAAATTGTGGAATAGGACTCATCAAAAAATGCCCCTTTCTAGCTAAATTGATTTTTTGTAACATGCAATAGCGAACATTAGAACTGCCTTGTACTCTTTATACAACGTGTAGTTTGACTTGTATAAAATTAAATTGGTGACTCAAACTCTTGTGTTTATTGCAGTGTAATGGGATTCTTTTTCTGCCTCATGCTGGGGAAATCACAGTTTATCCTACTTACCTCTTTTGCTGGAGTAACTTCTTTGTTTTAGTAAGAGACTTGGGAGCTCTGGAAATGCACTTGGTTTTGTGCTTGAGACCAGCTAGCCAGCCAAGCACCCTTTGGTCTAATGCATTGTCCTTCCTTGGAGTGTGACTGGATGTGGAAGCAGCACCCCTGACTGCTCAGAATTTTGCCCATCTGTGTAGATGAATTGCATCAGGCACAAGGAGCACATCGAATGCGTGTTCAAGTGTGACTGCTGGCTTTTCTTTCCTGGAATTGCTTCACAATGCAATGAGTTCTCTCGAGAATTAATTCTTAACCATTTCCTGATCGTATCTAGAAAGCTGAAGCCTTTGCCTGCTGTGTGTAAGTAGCTGTGGTAGCATGAGGAGAGGGATCCCAGGATAAGCAAACTTAGTTTTGCCTGATAATCTCACATCCCTGATGTAATCTGAATAGCTGCAATTACATGGTTTGTGTTGCTGTCAGCCCAGTTACTGGTGCTGGTTTACTGTACCCTTCATGTTGTTTCTGTCCCACACATGGAAATCTTGAGCTGCCAAGCCGAGCTTCACCATGATTGTTTATACAGCTATGGAGTCTTGCAGGTGTTTGTCATGACTGAAGCCACAGGGCATTACTGCTGAAGTTCCTGCACCTGGAATGAGGTGACCCCTGTGTTTAGTCCAATTTGTGATGATTCTTATTTTATTGAAGGTGGTTAAGGTATATTTTAGCATAATGACTGGAATAAATCAATGCTGCAGTTCTGATCAGTGTAGGTAATGCCTCCTCTGCATTGGATTTCAGGTGTGAAGGAGTACTGGGGACTTCCTGCACAAGTCGGACTGCAAGAATAATTTAATGCAGGTTTGCAGCCCTAAACTACACCTGTGGAAATACTGATGTCCCTTAAACTTGACACAAAAGCATTATGTCTCTTGGTTTTATTTATGCTGATGATGGAGTATGTCAGACTCGATGGAGAGCTGCTCCTCTGATTTGCTTCTGGGGGGTCATCACTACAATACATGCGGCACTCAGAACACGAACTGAGCTCTGTAGATTGAAAGGGATTATGTGCCTGTTCTCAGTATCTCTCTGTATTGTTGTGGTAATAAAACACAATGGTAACAACTACTTTTTGCACATGCTCATAGATACTGGTAATGGCTTGTTTCTAAAACTGGCTTTCAGTGCCAGCATGAGAGGGCCTTGGCTGGTAGCACCCCAGTCTTGGGTAATGATACAGAACGGTGGCTTGTACCAGCTATATTAGTTTACTGAAATGAGGTGGTTATGACAAGAGTTATGTCTGGAGTCATCTTTATTCATGAATTGGAGGAAGGCCCTAGACTGGATTTAACCAACTTGCCTGTACCTCCTTTAAATATCAAGGATTTCTTCTAGTGGAGCCACATACAATGTCTCGCTTGGCTGCTGTGCAAGAGAAGCAGCCCTGTGCTGTGCAAATGAAGCAGGAATTCCCTGGCATGACGTGCACCATTCTGGATTTGCTTCCTCTGGAAAGCTGGTAGGATTTCAGTAGTGCCAGGTACTGACTCAGTGCAGTTAAGTGCAAGGCTAGTTACAACCAGCAAAACCCACGCACTGGAATGCCTCTCGCTCTGTCAGCACCACTTCTTGTAGGAGTGGAAGTCTGGGTCTGGTGTGCGTGATCACAACTATGATTATTCTTGAGATCTCTTACATGTATTACGGAAGTGTGATTTGGATAAATGTCTTCATAGAAGACTATCGACTCACATGCCTGCTGTGTGTTGCAGCAGTTTTGTTTTGCTTTGGTCTGCAGCAGTAGCAATAGTTGATGGCAAGCAAAACCATCTGGCATTGGTCCTGTCTCAATTTGGTTACAAAACGTGGAGCTGTGGAGCCATCTTTTCAGGGTGTGCTGAAGCACTGGGTAGCCTGACTATTCTGCATTTGCTATAACCAATGAAAGTTTGTTGTTACAAAGCCTGAATAGAAATATGCCTTATCAGCTGCAGAGTGCAGGCCTGACTTTTAAAATGTTCATGTCCTGTAGCAGATTGTGAAGGAGAAATCAACGCTCCTCTTAAAGAGGAGGCTTAGGATCTGGGGCTGTATTTGGAGGCTGTTCCTAGCCTTTTCCTGTATTTGAAAAATACCTATTTTTCCTGTATTTTGGTGCTTGACGTAAGTGCAAGTTCTCTTCTTAAATTAGTGATTCCTGTGATATACATGCTTCAAGGTCAGATGGTGAAAACCCTTTTCTGCTTTACTGTGTCTCCCAAACTGGCAGATAGTAGGAAAGTGTTTCTGTTTCACATACGTGGCGAGTCAGAGTGCTCTTCATGAAGCTACCCAACACCTTTAAGACATGAATCCAAAAGCTTCCGTGCCCCTTGTATTAGTACTAAACCAAATTCATTCTTGCTTGGCATTTCTGGGTGACCTACTGCTTGTGTTTTTTGAACTTCCATCTCCTTGACTGCCTGTGTCAGGTCATAAAAGAGTTCTTTTTCTTTGCTCAAAAGGCTTTTTTCTTCCAGGCTTTTGCTTCTAGCTCAAGTATTTTGAGGGAGAAGAGAACAAATCCTTGATGTGCCAGGGCTGGTGAGGAAACAAGCTGCAAAATAGGATGTTCCTGATGTAGGTAGGTGTCTGATTCCAGCCCTGAAGCATGAAATAAGGTAGTGCTGTAGGGTTTGGTGGTGCTGGGTGAGCATCTAGCTGGCAAGGGTAATTTGTCCCCAAAGGCAGTGGAAGGGGCAGAGAACAGAGGTGCTCACTTCCTCATGGATGACAAGGCCCTGAAAGGATCATTTTAGCCTTTACATCTAGGAACAAAAGGATTTAGGATGTGCTATCACCAAACATACCCTTTGAAATGGCTGTTTATGTCACTAAGAAAGCAGGTACAGTGCAGTGGCTTGCTGTAAGCTCGAAGAGCACAGATTTGTGGTTGATGTACACCAAAACAAGTATCTCACCCAGCAATATTACTGTGCATAGAGTGAAACTGTAAGTGGCTGGAACAGGTGACGCTCCTTTTTCCTACTTAAAGCATTTTTAACTCTTAATACCTCTAAATTTTGCAGTTTCAGAGTTAATTCACAACTAGGAGATGACTCCATCCCAAACAAGCTTGTAATTCTCTGCATGAGCCATGGGGAGGGGCATTTGAAACATGGCTGCTGGATTTATTACTCATGTGGACTAACTTGAACTGTTCCCAATTCCCAATCTAGTTCAGGTTAGCATTGCAACATCCACATAGCAACCACAGAGCAATGACATAAAGAGCAAAACCTGGGAATTTGGCTCAGGAGCTTAGCAGTACTGAAAATTAAGCTGAGTGGACATTCAGAATGTCCTTGAGAGATGATGCAAAAATGCTGTGATCATTTGAAAGATGAATAGTTCAAATGTTGATTAGAAGATGAAGTTCCTGCAGTGGGATTAGCAGACCCTGGCTGTGCTGCTTGAGTGCTTTGTAATGTCTATTTAACATGAATAGGAATGCCTTACTTTAACAGGTGAGAAGCAAAACTAAAATAGATACTGCTTTGCATAGTGGCAGCTATTAACAGTTCAAGAACTTTATCTCTTCTTGGGAGCATAATGGTATCTGTTAACATTGTGAGCAGCCCTTTCCTCCCATGCTTTGTTTTGTGGTTTGGTGGAAAGAAGCAAATAGCAGAATGTGGGATCTTAACTCTCTCAAAGCTTCTCCCTGCATTACTTTTTTTGCTAAATGTGTATGTAGATGTCAAGGGAAGGTTTCAGTTGTTTCATAATCCAATAAATAATTGAAATAAACTGCTCTGAGGTAGCTTATAAATTGGCACCCTTTTGGCAACATCTGTCAATAATGTCTCTAAGTTGGATGAATGTGGCTGTGCTCCTGAGCAAGAAGGAATGGACCACAGCAGCTGGATCCATACTGCAGACAAAGTAGCAGCAACAGGAAGATGTCTGCGCACAGGACTCGAGGTGGGGCTGCACTAGTGCTCTGCAGAGTGGGACATTCACCTCCCTAGACCTGCTCATGGTGCTGTGCTGGTGCACCCAGGACACATCTGGCCCGTTGTGCTGCGGGGCACACTGCTGACTCCGGTTCAATTTGCCATCAACCCAGACCTCCAGATCTCTTTCTGCGTGGCTGCTTCCCAGCCTCCTGTCCTCCAGTTTGTATGGGTAGGTTCAGATGTTTTGTAACAGGTTGAGGCACAGGAGGCAGAAATGCTCTGGTATTACAGCATCCAGAGAGCTCACTGGGAAGCCTCCTCTTTTTTGCCTCAAGTAGCTGTTTTCCAGGAATTTATCATTCTGAATTCATGATTTTTTTTCATGGCAAGCATAGCCAGGAACAGAAAAATTATGGGAAAAGGTGAATGCTGGGTTGCTTTTCAAGTGCATGAGTTTCACTCTGCTCCTGATTCCCAATTCTGCTCCCACTGCAGCAGAAAGGGCTTTATATGAGAAGACCTTTTTCTATCCTGTGCCACTGAAGTTTTATTTGAAGGCAGTGGCAGTAAAGGAAACCCCTGTTACTTGCTTCCTGATTTTCAGGATAGAATTGCTTCATCAGTCTGTGACTTCACCTTTTTTAATGCATTACACATCGCAGACCACAAAACTCAAGGTGATACAAACCTGACAGGGGCTCATGTTAGAAACAAAGAGCTTGTTCTGCACTCCCCAGGGTGACCAAGAACCCTTTGGGCCCTGGATTTGGCCCAGCCAGAGCTCGCTGCAGTTGAGCTGTTCAGAGTTGAGAGGCTCTTGCCTCTCCTTGGCCAGTCCAACACACATCAGGTGCTGTTCTTGGCAGCTTCTTGTGCATTCTTTGGTCCTCATGCTTCCAGTCGTGGTTCCTTCCCCTCTCACCTTCTGTGGATAAGCAGAATATGTGTCTGAAAGGCGCATTTGTGTGGCCATTAAATACTAATGGGTGTGCAGGTATGCTGCCCTGTGTTTCGAGCACTTCGAGCACTTGGGAAGCACTCCTCTTGCCCTGCACTTTCTCCAGAGAGCTAGTTTGAGGGATCTTTTTGCTTCCCAGTGCTCTGGGGATTCCGTGTTAATGTTCTCCAGTCATTTTTCAGTGCTGCACGGGAGAGGCTTCAGGCAGCCCATAGCTACCTCAGGCAAGGCCTCCGGCACTGAGGGGGTCTTGGCTGCTGAGGAGAGCACGGCCTACCCCAGCGAGGGTGTCCGGCTGCTCCCCAAGGCAGTCAGGTCGCTGTCAGGGACTTTCCAAGTCACTCAAGCAGCTTCTGCCTCCCAAGCTCGTCCTGTGTAACCCAGGAGAAAAAACCAGCGGAGCCCCGTGTTCCGGCCTCCTCCCGGGGCAGTGCATGGGGCGGGTGCGGTCTCTGGGCCCAGCATTCACCCTCAGGACCCCAGCACCAGCTCCAGGCCCGGGCAGGGAGCAGGGGGCGGCCTGGGGTTATGGGAGGGGGGTATCCTCAGGCCGGACGTTGCCATGGTGACAGCCCCCCCCCAATCCCTTCCCCGTCTCCCCGAAATCCTGCGGCGGGATTAGGCCCCGGCACTGCGGCGTGGCGGAATGCGCGGGTTGCCATGGCGACGCGCTCATTAAGTGCATGCGTTCCAACCGGCCCGGCTGCCGCCCCCTCCCCGCGCACCCGCGCGCGCTCCCGCACGGCCCCTCCCGCCGCCGGCTTCTCACACCCCCCCCCCCACCGCCCCCCCAATCCCCCGGCCCGCCCGCACGCCCGCCCGGTGCGGCCCCGCTCGCAGTCCCCGCCGGCACCGGGCCGGGCCGGGCCGTGCGGTGCGGGCGCGCCCGAACGCGGCTCTGCGCAGCGCACAGCGGGCCGGGCAGCCCCGGCTGCGGCTGGGAGCAGCGGCCTGGCCGGGCCCCGCCGCGGAGGTAAGGAGCGCGGCGCCTTCCGCGCCCGGCCTCGACGCCTTGGATCTGCCCCACAGGCGGGGCCCGGGCTGGGTGAGCGGGTGCTGGGGCCCGGGGCGGCGGGGCCGGGCCCGCTCCGCGCCGCCCCCCGCAGCGGGGCGGCCCCGGGCCCGGCGGGGGAGGGACGCTCCACCATGGCCGCCTTTCACCGGCAGACAGCCGGGGCGGGCGGTGCGGGCCGGGCCGAGCCGGGCGGGGCGGAGCGGAGCGGAGCGGATCGGCGGGGGGACGGTGCGGGCCGGGCCGCGGCGGGGGCTGGGGTGAGGGCCCTGGAGGCGGGAGCCTGTGCTCTGCCGGCGGCCCCGCTGTAACCGGTCCTTTCAGGAGTGTAACATTTAGGTGCTGCCAAGTGTGTTTTGTCAAGCCAAGGCACTGCGCCCAGCCGGGGCTATCACAGCAGACACTGGGGACGGGCAGGTGCTTATCTCCCCTGGACAAGTTCGGCACTGGTCCCGGTTTGGGGGTGTGGGGGGTGAGCCGCTGCCCAGGCATGACCCAGTGGGTTCAGTCAGACACAGGGGATGGAGCTGTTCGTCCCTTTGCTTTCCCAAGGGATCCTCTCTGGGACACACAGAGCTTGGAAGTCCATTCTAAGGGGTGGACGCTTGACCATGTTCCTGATGTTTCCCAAACACGTGTTGACCTGCAGCCTGAAGATGACACCGCTGCAATGCTTGAAGGGGTCCTGTAGCATGGAGAGTGTTAACCCAGCCTAGCAGGGCACAACAAACAGCCCAGGCTATGGAGAGGATGCTCCACTCAGCACTCCAGGGGTGGCCTCACCAGTGCTGGGCAGAGGGAAGGATCCCTCTGTTCTCTGTAAGGCAGCCCAGGATCCTATTCACTCCTGCTGCAAGGGCAGATTTCTGGCTTATGTTCAATGTGGTGTCCACCAGGACCCCTCAGTCCTTTTCTGTCAAACTTTAGCTTTCCAGATGTGTGGCTCCAGTGCAGATTTCAGGAATACTTAAAAATCTGAGAAGCCACAAAGCCTATAAACATATTAATATTGTTTGAAGTACAGTTATTTTAAGCCAGTTTTGTGATGAAAAGAAGCACGTATGTTGACCAGGCTGTCCTTTGTAAAAGTGCTGATGGGGCTGTACAGCATGTCTGTGCTGGGAGCTACTTTTCTCCATGCTCCTCTATGGCCTGTTGCACCATGTATCCCTCCTCTTTCCAAACAGCAGATCATTCCCTGGCTTTGCTCTGGTGTCGTGAGACTGCAGAGAGTTGGAGGCTTGTGTGTAAAATGCTTGCTTTCCAAGCCGCTGGTCCAGGGTGCTGGTGTTGGGTGTTGGCCAACATCATAGACTGCTGTAGAGAGAAGAGTTTGGGCATCATCCAGCTTGAGCACTGGATCTGGTTATTTCTCTTCCTTTTCTAGGCATTTCCAGTCCCAAGTTCTGCTTAAATAAATACATAAAAAAGCATCAACAGCTCACACAAAACAAGGAGTTGTCCCTGAAACATTTAACCAAAGTGGTGAATGAAGGATAAATACCTGGTTTAAGTGCCTTGCTGGTGGGGATTAGGAAGCACCAAGACAGGTTGGCTGCCAAATTCATTTTGGCTTTTAGTTGGAGTCTGGTGTCCAGCTGGGTGAGTTCCTTCTGTTCTCCTGACAACATCCTGGTGTAGGCACCATTGTTATGGGGTGATTCTTGCTGTCTTACCGTGTGCGTTCCTCTGAGCTGCTGTCGTCTTCTGCCTTTGAAATGGTGGTTTGTTGTATAATTGTATGAATGTAATTGTGTGCCTTTAATTGAAAGACAAAAGAAACCAAACAACTTTTAGTTACCATCTGTCCCACTCTTCATCTTTCCCTAATTCACCTTGTTGGGTTTCAGCAGTGCTAATAGAGCAGCCCTGATGTTGTGTGCTTGGACAGAATAACTGAAAGGAGGAGCGGAGTAAGGTTTTCTTGTGGAAAAGAGAGTAAGGATTCTGGTGTGCAGTGGAGGAGCAGCAGGGCCTGATGGGCCTTGGCTCAAGGGAGGGGATAAACTAGTAAAGAAGTGGAAGATCAGCAGTGCTGTGCTTCGGGGTATTGGCTGTAAATGGGTTATTAAATCTGTCGCTTCCCACATTCTTCAGTCTCTGTATGGTGTTACTGGAATTGCTGCCTGCTGGGGCACAACAGAGGCCAGCTGCTGCCCCAGGGACAGGGAACTGAGCAAGGCAGATGGCAGGGTCACTGTGGCAAGGTCCAGCTAAAGCTCAGGTCACCAGGCAAGGTCTGAGATCAAACCAGGATGCCAGCCAGCAGCTGGAGACCAGCACTGCTGCAGTACAGTGTGGACAGGTTATGGGGGGGCTGACGGGGTGGGTCATGGGTGAGGAGTCCAGGAGAGGTTGGGCAGGGCCAGTAAAGCCTAGTAGTACCCTCTGGACCGTGCCTACTTGAAATTCATGGCTAAATGGGTTGAACATCACCAGTCCTGTGAGAAACTCAACTGCATCCAGTGGGCTTCATGTTCCCTCCACCCCCTGGTTAATTCCTACCACTTGTGAAATTCCTCTCCTACAGCCAGTTAGAAGACAGTGGGAGAACTGGAAGGGGAACTGGAGGAACCTGTGTCTGCTCCAGGGGAGGATTTGCTAACTCTCTGTCACAGCCTGCATCAGTGGGAGCCAGGAGCATCTGTAGCTTGTGGTGGACCTGCTGTGCTCAGAGCATCCTATGGTGGTGCCAGGTAAGAAAAACCCCTTGGCGTTTGCAGGCTCTGAGCTGGGATCTCACAATAGGGGCTTTTCTTTGTTGGATTCAATAGGCCTTTGATATGTCCTACAGGGGTTTATGCTGGGAGATGGTTGAAAGGGAGGGGACCATCCCCCAGAGTCTCTTTCTCACTCCTTTGTCAGATCTGTACTTGTACCCAACTTGATTTCTGTCTTGCTGTCTTACAGTGTCTCGCTCTGTGCCCTGGCAAGGTGATGGACAGCAGAGCAGAGATGGAGGTTGTGAGAAGCACAAAGGGGAATACTGCTGGGGAGGTCAGCGTCCACGTGGTCACCACCGAGAGCACTGTGCAGAGCACCCACCTGCCAACAACTGCCTTCATCATACCAGGTATGCAGACTTGTCCTAACTGGGGCCTCCCTAGCCTTCTCTGCCCACACTCATACCTCACACTCCTTGTATATGTGTCCTCCTCCCAGACCTTGGGAGGTAAAGCCTTGTTGCTGTTGCCATTTTAGAGGTTCTCGGTGCCTATCCCACGTCACTTGGCCAATCAAAACCTCTTGAGTTTTAAACCAGACCCCTTCTGTCTGGGGCCCTGTCCCAGTGCAGCACAGTGTGCTGTGTGCCTGCTCCGCAGGGCATGTGGGCTCCTAGGTTGCTGCAGTATCACAGACTTGTAGAATAACTCAAGCTGGAAGGGGCCCATAAGGATCACTGAGTCCAACTCCCTGCTCCCTGCAGGATTACCTAAAACTGAACCATAGGACTGAGAGCATCATCCAGACACTCCTTGAGCTGTGGCAGGCTTGGTGCCATGACCACTGCCCTGGGACTGACCACCTTCCCAGTGAAGAATCTTTTCCTTATGTCCAACCTGAGCTTCCTCTGATGCAGCTTCATTCCATTTCTTCATGTCTTATTGCCGGCCACCAGAAAGAGGAGATCAGCACCTCTCTGTGCTGCCTCCTGTGAGGGAGGTGTAGACTGTGATGAGGCCTCCCCTCAGCCTTCTATCTCCAAGCCAAGTGACCTCAGCCACACTTCCTAAGTCTTGCCCTCGAGACCTTGGTCACCTCCTCTGGGCACACTCCAGTAGTTTGATGTCCTTCTTCTACTGAGGACCCAAACCTGTGCATGGGACTTGAGCTGGGGCCATACCAGGGCTGTGCAGAGTGGGACAGTCGCCTCCTCAGACCTGCTTGTGTGGTGCTGTGCTGGTGCACCCAGAGTGTGGCTCTTTGGGCTGCCAAGGCACACTGCTGACTCCTGTTCAACTTGCCATCACCCCAGACCCCCAGATCTCTTTCCATAGGGCTGCTCTCCTCCTCTCTTCCCCCAGTTTGTACATAATAGCCAGGATTACCTCGTCCTGGGTGCAGAATGTGACACTTGCTGTGTTCTGTGTATGCCTCTGGTTGTTTGTTTCCTTTCTTCTCTTCTCAAGCAAATGCCACTGCCATCAGCCTTCCCACGAGCACCTTAGAAATCCAGCGATTCCCCCGGGAACCACAGAGAAGCACAGGGGCCGAGAGGCCAGAGAGAGGAGCAGGGAGCGAGCCCATCACAGCTACTGTCATTCCCCAGATCAGTGGGGTGCAGACCTGCAGCACAGTCCGTGTGCTGGAGTGGAAAGATGGGGTGGCTACTTTGCCTGGGAGTAACCTGCGGGTAAGCATAGCCCTGGGCCACTGTGTTTGTCCCCCCTCACCACTTCCCTCAGCTGCTTGCTTTTGTAAGTGGCAGTCCCCAGTTTATGCAGTCAGGGACCACCAGCCAGCTGGAGGAGCCCTTGGCTGTTCCAGCTCTTTGAGGCTCTTGTGCCCCATCACTATGCCCCTGCCATCTTGTGACCGTAGCAGAGAAAGCAAATACATGGTGCCTGGGGTGCTGCAGCAGGTCTGCTCTGCACAGGAAGCCAGGACTGCTGCTTGCTGTGCAGGACTGCTGCTTGCTGTTCCTTTCCAAGCTGTGCCATGGAGCTGGCTCTCACCAAGCTCCTGCACTCACCCTGGGAACAGTGGCCTTATGCTCACCAGACATCCTTCCGCCATCCCCGTGCCCCTCATGCTGCCTGCTGGTGCTGGTCTCACCCAAGGCAGGCATGTGCTTGCCCTGGCAGGCTCAGAGGCCAGCACAGACTGCAGGGAGGGGCAGCAGGATAGGAGACTTTAGTGCTGTGCTTGCCTCTACTATGGAATCAGAATGGTTTGGGTTGGAAGGGACCTTAAAGATCATCCAAGAGCTGTCCTGCTGTTGGAGGCACTACTGACTCAGCCATGTCCCTCTTATTCTCAGAGCTCACATGTACCCGCTAGCTATCAAATTGCATTCCTATCCTCCTTGTTAACTATTCTTCTTTTCTGGTTCAATGATATAGTTCCGAATTAATGAGTACGGGACGCTGAAGGTGGTGAGTGCTGATAAGATGCCTCCAGTGGAAGCTGTAAAGGAGGGTCACACAGAGAAAGATGGGGACTCAGAGGTGGCACCCACCAGCAGGGACAATCCTACTGTGGCTCAGGGTAAGGGTCTCATTTCTGGGGTGGGTACCATCACTCAGCAGGCGCTGGCTGGTGCAGGCCCTGAGTGAGGCACATGTCTCCTGCTCCTTGCTCTTTCCTTTGCTGCACCTTGTGCCTCACTGCTTCTCTTCTCTCCAACTCAGATGCGCCAGAGCAGACCAAGCTTCCAACAGCAGAAAGCATGTGCCACTGTGATACCTGTGGCCGCAGGCACATGTCAGATGGAGCCCGGGAAGGCAGAGGCTTCTGCAGCGAGCACTGTCACCAGCAGTTTAAAGAGAGGTAAAGGAAGGAGAGTCTGCTCCATGTTGAGCCATATCCACCCACCTCTCTGCTCTCCCTCCCCTGGTCTACATGCTCCAGCAAGGGATGAAGAGGGAAACCCACTTGTTCCCCTCTTCCCTGTAGGCAGAGTGCCCTGGGTGCAATATAGGGGGTGAAGACTTGTCCCAGGGACAACAGGAAGCACAGAAGCCAGATTTTCTCCTGCTCTGTTTGTGGCCTCATAAACATGTATGTGGTTGAGCAGGAGGTTGCTGCAGTGGGTGCTTGCAAGCAGAGTAGCAGTGGGAAGCATGGGTCACAAAGGCATTTCCAGGCCACTGCTTACTAAAGTGTGACTCCTGGGACTTGTTTTACAGCATCAGTCTGTGGCTCTGATGAAGCTTAGAGCCCTGCTACAAAACTAGATCACTTCTGATCCACCCCTGAGTTCAGGTTTCTGACACCCATGTGTGTGAGGATGATTCTGTTCTGTACCCTGGTTCTAACCTCATGCCAACTCGTGTGCTGAAAGGAGTGCATACATTAGTCGGGAGGGATGGGAGCATGTGTGAGTAAGAAGTGGGGTGTCAGGGATTCTCCAGCAGCCATTCCCTTACTGACAACCCAGCCATAGCCACCGTGCCATAGTAGTTTACTCTCCCTTACTCCATGCAGGTCTGTCATTGTGGAAAACTCTGCCAGCAGCACCAATGCCACTGAAATCCTCAAGCCAGTGAAGAAACGAAAGAGGAAGGATTACCAGAGCCCTTCAGAGGAAGAATACGAATCAGAGCAAATGGTAGGAAGAGGGCAGGGTGGGTGTATGTGCACACATGCTGATGTCAAGGGTGCGTTATGGGCCACCCCTCTGTGTACTGCATGTGTACACAGTGCTCATCAATGTCTTTCAGTGCTACGTTACCTATGTATGAAGGAGGTAACCTTTTGGCTGTTAGTGACAAAAAGACTCGAATGTGTGGATCATTAGAGCTTCTAGACACTTGGTGGGCTATTGGGCATGCTGAGCACCTCGGGTTGGGCAGTGCTAGACATGTCCTGGTTGGCTGTAGGTATAGAGAGCGCTCAACTGCTCTCTTGAGTCTGGGTCACCAAAGTAAGTGTTGAAGTAAGAGTGTGTGTCTGTGTGATGTGCATCCTGGGGAAGGGACAGTGCCTTTGACAAGGTAGGGAAGCTCTGCAGACCCGCTTCAGGTGTGGTTGCTACCAGTCAGCATGAAAATCGGCTCCCATCATCAGATCCTCTTGGCTGTCCATTTCTGGGCCAAGCATCAGTAAAACCATGGATGTTGCAAATGCACAGTGTGGCCCTTGGCACTGGTCTAAGGGTACAACACAGCACAAACCTGTGTGCAGACCTCCAGCATGATGGGTTTCTGTTTTGTCTGCTCTCATGTCTAGGAAGAAAAGCAGGAAGAGAGGAAAAACTCTACTGAGGACTCTGCCATCAGCAACCCAGAGGCTGACACTTGGAACGGGAGCCAGCACGGTATGCAGGGCTGGGAGGGCAGTGGGGTCAGTGCTCCCACCACAGCTGTGGGGTCCTGCTGTGGATCTGTGGGTCTGGGACAGCATTTTGGTGCTCCAGCAGAGTCAAACACCCAGTGCAACATGTTCCTGAAGGCTTGTAAGCTCCTCTGCTTGCTTGATCCTGCTCTTTCTGTCTCTTTCCATTTCTCTCCTTTTCTGTCTTTCTCTCCATGGGAAGGGTGCACCCTTACAGATACAGCTGTGTCTTCTTCAGGCATTGAGCTGTACTGTACAGTGCTCTCTGGTCCCTCCCTTTGAGAGCTGAATTTATTACATGCTCATGGGTATAGTGTTTGTTCCAAGAGGCACTATCCTGAGTAATAACATGACTGAGCCACATCTGGCTTTGACTCCCTCTTTGGGTGATCTTGTGAGGAACTTCCCTCACGTGATCGGGAACTCACAAGTTTGGGAGCTGCTCCTGTAGGTGTGGTGCTGCTGAAGGCTTGTCTCATCTCATGGGGATCTATTCCTGGGCCGTATCAGAGGAGATCTCAAATGCAGAGCTGTTGACACCGAGGGGAAGGAGGCAAGCTGAGGATGCAGCGTTTGCTTGGTTGGTTTTATCCCTGCAGTGCAGTGGGATGAGGGCGGGAGGAAAAATTGGGAAAATATTAAAAATAAACATTTATGGGAAACCTTTTGTCTGTGAATAGTGAAAGGTCATATTCAAAGTAATTTTAAAATGAAACTGCTCCAGCTTCATACTCCTCTCCATAGTCAAACGCAGGGACAGTAGCAGGGGCCAGATGTTGTTAACCCCTCATGTTACATTGAGTTAGCCTCTATTAAGAAGAGATTTCATACTCACTTGCCAGGTCCTGTTCTCTACAGTCTGAGAGCATGCGCGTTCCCTGCTGCATACAAGTAAGCAGTGCTGAGCCTGGTTATTTAGGCATTCTCTCTTCTGTTAGAAGTACACCAGCAAACAAAATGCACACCTGGATGCTTCAGTGGAGCAGAGTCTGTGTGTGCTCTGTCCCCAGGTGTATTTGTCATTCTCCAGAAGCACAGAGCTCGTACTTACAGATTCCCCAAACACGCCTGCCACTCTTTTCAAAGTCCTACAGAATAACGAAGATGTACAAGGGCCAATGGGTTCAAGCTTAAACGGGAAATTCAGGTCAGCTATAAGGAAGAAGCTCTTCCTTGTGAGGGTGGTGAGGCCCTGACACAGATTGTCCAAAGAAGTGGTAAATGCTCCATTCCTGGCAGTGTTCAAGGCCAGGTTGGACAGAGCCTTGGGCAATATGGTCTAGTGTGAGGTGTCGCTGCCCATAGCAGGGGGTTGGAGCTCAATGATCTTAAGGTCGTTTTCAACCCAAACCAGTCTATGATTCTATGTTTGTCACTCTTAAGTGTTAGCAAAGCATCTGGGTTAATAACCTTGCTCAGTGAAGCTCAGCTTTAATTTCTCCCATAAGTTCCTGTTTTTTCCACCTCTACTTCCCCTAAGCTCAAGGGAGGAAGGAGTTGGGTTTTCCCCTGTGTTTCTGGCCTGCCCTGATGAAGGTTATCTGTCATGGCTGACCTGTAGCTGTGAATTACTCAGTGCTGGGATAGGCACAGCACTCCTGGAGTCCCTTCAAGTGCTACAAAGCAGGGAAAGCAAGTAGCTGGAGGCTTGGATTACCTCATGTGCCTCAGGCAAGGCCTGTGTGGCTTTCCCAAAGGGGTCAATGGAGTGAAGGGTCACCTCCTGCCTATAGAGATGATGCTGTCTTTTCATGAATACTAGATAGGTAAAAGGCACCAGTGTGGCCTTGGTATGTCAAGAGGAGTCAGGTGGTTGTCTCAAAGCAGAGGATAGCAGAGCTGGTGCCTCTGGAGTGGTGGTGGAAGGTGAGCCCCACTGCTGGTTTGACTGGGCAGATGCCCCTTGCAGCTGGGAGTGATTCCCAGTCCTCTGCATGGATCCTACTGACTATCCCAGATCCATCAGTGCCATGGTCAGATGGACTGGCTGGAGGAGGACTGGTTGCAGGGGTGTCTTGATGCTTTGCACAGAATGGCTTGTCCCTCAGGCTCCTTACATGCCTTACTGGAGTGAAAGAGGACATTTGGGTCATGGGGACCTATTTTAGAGGGGGCGTCTTGGATCTGTCCCTCCATGGTTTGCTGGAGAAAGGGGCTCTGTAGGATGGTGCTGAGCTTTGCAGGGATGCAGGACTGCATGAGAGCAGGATGTGGCCCCAGCAGGACCTGCCCTGCACACTGCTCCGAGGCAGGCAGGGCCAGGGGCTGGAGCAGACCCTCAGCAGCGCCTCTTGTGTGTGCGTTTGTGCTGCGCTCAGGTGCCAGTGAGGAGAAGAAAGAAGGCTGGTCTTGGGCGTCCTACTTGGAGGAGCAGAAAGCTGTCGCTGCCCCTTTAAATCTCTTCCAGGATGTGAGTTGGGATTTTCCTGTCTTTTTCCTTCTTTCTTCTTCTCTTCTCTTTCCCTGTTTTTTTTTCCCACCCCTCTTCCTTCTCCTCTCTCCCTTGCTTCCCTGTTTTGCGGGACTCTGAGCAATAAGCAAGCTCCCATCTTCACCTGTAGGTGACCAATCAGCCTCCAGTTTTGATTGCCCTGGGTCCCACTCCCCAGCAGGTGCTGTCTCCCATCCCAAGCACCCCGCATTTGTCTAGGACACCCCTGTGGCTCTGGCAGGGTGGTGGAGCCTTTCCAACCCTTCCTCAAAGCCACATTTCAGCTCTCCTGAGGCCGCATTGCTGCGCTGCACCCCTGCTCCCAGGTTTCTGATAGCCAGGGTAGAAGAGGAGCCAGGCCCATGTCCCTGTCTCCCCAGGGACACCCTGCCCTGCCAGTAGCAAGAGACACAAACCCACAAGGAGGTGGAAGAATGTGGTTTTCAACAGGAAAAGAGTTAAAATTTGGATGGCAACATAACCTGTGGCCCACAGTTTCTTGGTCCCAGCAGCTCCCATTGCCTGATGGGTGCTCCTTAGAATGATTTTACCTGAGTCATTTCTTACACTGTAGTTTAATTGTTTTGTTTCCAGTACCAAATAGCTTCCCAGCACAAGAATGGCTTTAAAGTGGGGATGAAGCTGGAAGGGATCGACCCACAACACCCATCTATGTACTTCATCCTGACAGTGGCTGAGGTAAGTCACTTGTGGGCCCTTTAGTCAAAATCCCTGCACCAGCATCTGCCTCAGGTGCAGAAAAGGTAATCCTTGCACTTGCTGGACACAGCACTGTGCCACACCATGGCATTTACACACCAGCCTGAACTTCCCTTCTCAGGGCTTGCTTATGGTGGCCTTACGCTTGCCTTGTTCCATGCTGAACACGTTTTGGGACTGGCATGTGCCTCCTAATTTGGGCACTGGCTTATGATTGACTCTTTGCTTCCCTAATGATACGCTGAGATAACATATAGGAGAAGAGGTGTGTGCAATGCTCAGCCAGGGACAGCAGGAGGTTTCCATGGTCCTTTCCCTTTCCTGCCCTCCCTGTTGGTAGGTGTGCGGTTTCCGAATGCGCCTCCACTTCGATGGCTACTCAGAGTGCCATGATTTCTGGCTGAATGCTGACTCCCCCGATATCCACCCCGCTGGCTGGTTTGAGGAGACTGGGCACAAACTCCAGCCCCCAAAAGGTAAGGAGTTAGCACGTCTCAGTTGGTGGGTGCTGTTGAAGAAGGTGGATGAATAGCAGGCCCCTAAATGTAGAGCTGGAGATGGGGCCTGTGAGGGGATGCTGCCATACTGGGGGGGTTCCACAGGACCAACTTTCAGGCACCCATCATGCTGGGAGGGATCTGCTGCCTCCCATTCTGAGGCAAAGCTGGAGCCAGCAGCTGTGCCCCAGGGCAGATGGGACTGATGCCCTAAGGAGGAGCTGAGCTCTGGGTTTCCACTGTACATTTCCTAGCACCCCTCCTGAATCAAACATTGGGCCACAGGTTTTGGGTTTCCCAGGGCTGCCCGCAGCAGGACATGGCAGGGTGAGGGAGGGCTGGTTGTGGATGACCAAGCTCAGCCTCATGACCGTTTGGGTGCTGTCTGTGAACTTGCTGCTCGCATTTCTCTTCTTGAGGGGTTGTAGGTTATAAGGAAGAAGAATTCAGCTGGACAAACTACCTGAAGATAACAAAGGCTCAGGCAGCTCCTAAGCACCTCTTCATGGTCCGAAATGCTGTGAGTAGCAGCTTCTCCTTCCTGCCAGGTTCAGGTGTGACTTCTTCCCCTCCAGCTGAGCAGAACCTGTCTGCCAGTGCTGGACTTTCCTCTGCCAGAGTGTACTGCTGGCATTGCTCAATCTGATGGGGCACGTTCGGCTGCTGAGGATCTGTAGCTTGGGTACTAGTTTGGTGTACCCAGAATTGGCATTGGTCTGATTCACTGTTTCATCTAGGACAGGCAAATCTGTTGCAAAAGTAGTGCTGAGGAGGAGTAACCATTACTCTCAACAATTACTTTGCCCCAGACCCCTCAGTTAACGTTTTCTAAGTAGAGTTCTTTCGTCTCTGTTTTGTGTCTTCGTTGTTTCTGTCTCTGCCTTTATTTTTCATATGGCAGCTTGGACAGGGAAAGTGGGAATGTAGCAGAGTGCAAAATGCTAATGGTTTCTTAGCCAGCTGCAGAGGAAACTTAGCCTTACTGATAAATCAGCCTCTCCAAGTTATTTATTATGTCTAAACCTCCTGTTCATCACTGCAACAATCCCACTAGTGTGTGAGGCAGTGTTTTGCGCAGATTTTGGACCCAAGAAATAAAGGCAAGGTAGGGTAAAGGTCCCATCCCAGCTCCTCCTGTTAAGCCTAGGGCATTGCTTGCTGCTAACACTGGAGGTTCATGACTACAAGTCCTTTGTGAGCTGGTATAAGTTGGACACATTTTTTCTCTGGGAGGTTACTGCTTATTGAAGATCCTGAGAGTGTGAAGATTTCTCTTTCCTTGTCTGGCCAAGCTGAGTTACTCACCCTTTGCACTGCCCTTCTGGGGTCCTAAGTGGTCCTGGTCCTGCTTGGAGGCCAGGGAGAGTTTGGGCAGATGCCTCCTTGCAATGGGCAGGGGAAGTGGTGAGGAGGACCCTGGGACCATAACTCTGAAAGAAACCTCTATCCCCCCAGCACGAGGCTTCCCCAGGCTTCGAGGTGGGAATGAAGCTGGAAGCTGTTGACCGCATGAACCCTTCCCTCATCTGTGTTGCCACGGTGACTGACGTGGTGGACAATCGCTTTTTGGTGCACTTTGACAACTGGGATGATACTTACGACTACTGGTAAGTGCACAGAGGCTCTTGGGGTGCCACTGCTTCAGCAAGAGTGACAGTGTGCTTGGGAAAGAGTGGGACAATCCCAACATGCTGCTGCATAGGTCACTAGTGAAGCAGAGGGTCACCCTTCTGCGGGACAGACCTCCTGGGACATTGCCATAACCCTTTAGTTAATGTGGGGCAAAGTCAGACATGATCACATGCTGTGGGCTCACCCTGGAATCCTCTTGGGAGGCAGAAAGCAATACAGAGACTGAAGGCCTTATCTTAAAGGAGCTCCTTATCTTAAAGGAGCTCCAATCCCCATCTGTAGGCAGGGGATTGTAGCCAGGGTGGGGAAGTGTCCCAGCTGAGGCTGCTTAAGGCCAGTTAAAATGACCAGTTAGCACAATCAGGGTTCTGAGAGCAACTCCTTTCCTTTGGCTGGAGTCCTCTGACCTCTTCTTGCCCTGGGTCTGCACCAGTTTCTGTCCCCAGCTGCTCTTCATTCCCTGGTGCTGGGCAGCTGCCTGCACTGTCCTAGGGCAGACCTGCAAAGCAGCAGTACCTGAGTGTGCTCTGACCTACAGGGAGCCATGACCAGGACAAAAGCCCCCCCAGATTCCTCAGCTCTCACCACTCCAGGCTCTAAAAGGCATGGCCTGTCTCCCCACTTGCAGCAAGCGGTTACTATTCCCTGGGTAGCTCTGCTTCAGGGCTTGAAACCAGGGCATGTTCATGTCTTGCCCCTCTGAGCTGACAATCTCTTTCCCTAGTCCTTGCCTTGCAAGGCCCATGGTTCCCTAGGTCACTTGGGGACAAGGATGCTGTAGAAGACCTTGACTTATGCAGGGGGTTTTGCTGGTGGTGCTGACCTAGGGGTGCACCAGGTGTCCTGCCCTGGACCCCTGCAGCCCATGCTGTCTGTGCTGAGCCAGGTACCTCAGCCCTGTGTAAGAGTTTGGGTTTGTGTTCTAGGTGTGATCCCAGCAGTCCATACATCCACCCAGTTGGATGGTGTCAGGAGCACGGCAAACCCCTCACACCTCCTCAAGGTGAGTGGCCTGGGAGCACAGCCCTCAGTGGTGCATCCCCCTGGGACAGGCTTCCAGGGTGGCACAGGGAACCCTGGGGCCTTTGCTTGTCTGCAGGCCCAGGCAGTTTCCTTCAGCAAGGCCACAGCCATGCTCCTGCCAAGGCTGCTGCACACGTGTTTGTGTGGTTGTCTTGGACTGAGTGCAGACACAAGGAGGACACAAGGTGTCTATCCAGGCCCAGATGTTTATGCTTCCATGTACGCTGTATTTCATTGTCCATGGAAAAACAGTAGCATTTCTTGATGTCTCTCAGGTTCCCATATGTCTGGCTCAGACGTGGTTGGTCAAAAGCAGTAGGATGTTGTGGGATACTCACTGTCTTCCTGCAGCATTCACCTTCTGCATTTTCCCTGCTTTTAGATTATCCTGACCCTGACAACTTCACCTGGGAAAAGTACCTAAAGGAAACTGGAGCATCTGCTGTCCCAGCTTGGGCCTTTAAAGTGGTGAGTGCCACATCATCTACTGCACTGTGCCTAGGCAGAGATTTGGGGTTTCTTTGCTGTCAGATCTTTACCTTTATGAAAGTCAAGTAATGTGCAGGATGCTCCTGCCACAGGCCTGAGGTTCAGATCTGCACTCAAGTTCAGAAGTCAGGGCTATCCTGTGCAAACAGTTCTTGGAAAAATGGGAAGTGTGACCATGCCCTCAGCTAGACAGGAGCTGGGTGGTGAGAAATCGTTTAGGCTTGCTTGACAGTGGTTGTCTCTAACTGCAGCAACAGCAGCTGTGTCCAGACAAGTGGGGCTGCAAGATAGAACCCCAAAATGTGTCTTGGAGACCTTCCTCCCTTGGGTACAGCTTTCACATCCTGTTAAAACACAGCTCATATCCAGGAGGCCTGTAGCCACTCTCTCCTGTTGCCGCTGTGAGCTGGGCTAGATCTTACTGGGGTAGGCCAGGGCTGGGAGTGGGGCTTGAGGAGGGCTCACTGCTGGGAAAGCTGCTGAGGGGTGCAGGAGCTGGAAGCATGGCCCTGCTCCCCACTGACCTGGGTTCTTCCTGGCCCTAGCGTCCACCCCATGGCTTCCTGGTCAACATGAAGCTGGAGGCAGTGGACAGGAGGACGCCGTCCTTCATCCGAGTGGCCAGTGTGGAGGATGTGGAAGATCACAGGATAAAGGTGGGTGTTGGAGTATCAGTGCTGAGCCTGTGTCCAAGTACTGTGCTGGCTTGATCCTACCCTTCCCATCTCACTGTCAGTTCCAGTAGCAAAGCATGTGGAGGTCTGTGGAAGTTGGCAGGTCCCAGTGCCTGGCTCCAAGAATGGAGGAGAGCCTTGTGCTGCAGTTCAGCTCTACCCTGCTGCTTGCTGTCAGCTTGGAAGGCTCCAGAACTCCTCAGGGAGGTGCCCAGGGGTTTGCAGGGTGACCCCTCTGCTTGTCTCTCCCCAGATCCATTTTGATGGCTGGAGTCATGTCTATGATTTCTGGATTGATGCAGATCATCCGGACATCCACCCCATAGGCTGGTGCTCAAAAACTGGACACCCGCTGCAGCCTCCTCTCAGTAAGTCCTGTACCTGGGTCAGTCCCTCACGGCCAGGGCCCAAGTGTGCCAGATCCCCACTCTCACCACCACCTGCCCACGCACAGAAATGGCCTAAGGATGGGCAAGAAGGAAGGGCTTATCTGTGGAGCTGTCAGTTGGAAAACTCCTCCCTGTCTGGGGCAGGCAGGGAGCCTGTAGCCCTGGCTCTGCCTGGAGCTGCAGCCCATGACAGTCTCTCTTCTGTTTCTGCTTCTGGTCTAGGGCCAAAGGAACCAGCCTCCTCTGCCCATGGGGGCTGCCAAACGCTGGGCTGCAAGAGCATCCCTCACACCAAGAGCTCCAAGTACAGCTTTCATCACAGGTGAGCTCCCCAGTGTGGCTCAGAGAGGCACAGCTTCCCTTAAGGCCTTTCCTCTGCTTTTCCATACCCACACCCACACCAGCAGCCAGCTATTCATTGCACCCGCCCCATACCTGTCTCTGCTCCATGCTTAGGGTCAGCCCTTGCTCTCCACAGGCCAGGCCCCAAAGCAGCCTGGAGCCTGTGGCTGGTATAACTCCTGTGAGCTCCTGCTCCATGCCTGTCCTGTGTACCCAGAGCCCCTGGGGGTGCCCTATGTGCCCATCTACCTCTGGGGACTATGTTGGTAACAGTGCCCTTAAGATGCTTTTCACTGATACCAGCTTCAAGGAGATTGCCTCCCACCCCTCATGGATGCCTTTCACTGTGAGTTTGTGAGCTTGGGAAGGCCTGAGAAGGAGCAGTGCATCTTCCCCAGCTCAGTCAGTCACTTGTGAGGCCTTTTCCAGGGGAAACCAGGCACAGTGTCGTGCCAACCCCAGCACAGCAGGCTGCTGTCAAGAGGAGCGAGTATGGTGTTGCATCTCTGAGGATGGGGAAGGCAGATCTGCCTCCCAGGGGCTTCCCTGCTGGCCACACTCCTGGCACTTTCTTCCTCCTCACTCTCATCTGAATGCCTGTGGGGGCAATGAAGGGAGGATCAGCACTGGTGACTTGCACTGGCTTGCTGTGATAGCAGTGGAGAAGGCGGGATGGGTGTTTGTACCTGGAGGTACTGGGTGTGCCCATGCACCCAGCACCCTTACACTGGGACTTTGTTCACCACATTTTTACTCTGCCTTCTATGACCAGGGCTCCAGCTTCCCATGCTTAGGGGCGGATGGGTGCCCCCATCATGCTGCTCTGAGCCTGGGCCAATGCTTGCCTCCCCTCTGTCCTCTAGGAAGTGCCCCACGCCGGGATGTGATGGGTCAGGACACGTGACTGGGAGATTCACAGCCCATTACTGCCTCTCAGGGTGCCCGCTGGCAGAGAAGAACCAGGGCAGGCTGAAAGCAGACTTGTCCGACAGCGAGGCCTCGGCTCGCAAGAGGAACCTCATTGGCTTCTCTCAGAGAAAGAAGTCTCGGCACCATGGGAGGTAGGGGCAGTCCTGGTGAGGGAGGGATGGCCAAGCTGTTGAGGCTCCTTGACCACGGGGAGCACGGTTGTTGGCAGCTGGCGTTTGGCTTCCCAGCTCTGTTGGGCACCTCTCTTGGTTTTTCTTCCCATGTTTTTGTCTTTAGCTGTCAACCTTTTGGGTCAGGGTCCAAGAGGTAATTCTTGCTCCCACTGCCAAGGCATTGCTCTGTGCGGTGTGGAGAAGAGCCCTCGGGCCAGTCCAAACCCAGTTGGAAATCAGTCTTCCTGTCTCTTTAGAGGGCGACCTCCAAAGTACCGGAAGATCCAGCAGGAAGACTTCCAGAGTAAGTGCCTCCTCTCCACAGTGCCATTGCAGAGGCAGGGCTCAAAGAGCTGGGGTGTTGGCTGTTGGAGGCAGGTCTCCCTTGGCTCACTCAATCAGACCTCACACAGCTCAGCACCAGTGAGGAGCTTGTGGTCAACTACCAAAGTTGACCATCTGACAGAGATCTTCCCTGCCTGCTACCAGAGCTCTGCTTGGTCCCTCTCCAAGGCCTGTGGGATAGGATGGGATGGGATGTTCTTGTCCTACGTTGGATCACATCTTACACTTTTGTTGGCAGCTATTTCTTCAGACAATATGCACCAGTCACTCTTCATGTCTGCACTGTCTGCACACCCCGACCGCTCCCTCTCGCTCTGCTGGGAGCAGCACTGCAAACTCCTGCCTGGGGTGGCCGGCATCACAGCAGCCGCAGTGGCCAAGTGGACCATCGATGAGGTAAGATGGTTTTAAAGACTGAGTGCTGCCTCCTAACCCAGTGTCATGGCTGGGAGCACTCTGCCTGGCTGTGCAGCCCTATGGTACATCCACCAGGCATAAATGGGCTTCAGCAGCTACTCCTCTGGGCTGTCGAGCAAATGCTGTAGCATTTGCTGCTTTGGGGCTGGAGGAGGCCACCTACTGTGCCATGGTGCAAGGGTGGTCTCTAGGGATGGGACCTTGCTGCAACTGCAGCCTTTAGCCTAACAGCCATGTGTTACCTTACAGGGCACCAAATGCCTCTGTGGAAGTAAGGGTGTGGGGTCATGGGGGGTCTCCAGCCAGAAACATTGCTTCTGTCTTGATGTTTTTCCCTGTTTTTTCCAAGGTCTTTAGCTTTGTTCAGACTCTGACTGGTTGTGAGGACCAAGCCAAGCTCTTCAAGGATGAGGTGAGAAGTGCTGGAGGATGAGTGCAGGTGGGCAAGGACGGTTGTTTGCCAACAGGGCAGGGAGGAATTGGCCAGTGACTCCTGCTCTGTTCTCCTGGCATGGGTGAGGGAGGGCACCTCTGAGGAGGCTCAGGTGGGTGAGCAAGAAGAGAATGAAGATTCCTTCATGATCACCTCCTGAGGAAAGCTGCTTGTTCCTCACCCATTCATCCTTCCCCATCTGCATCCTCTTAGTGTGTCTGCACAGCAGTTAGGTGCATTGCTGTCTGTCAGCCGGTTTCATTGTTATTAGACTCCTCTGTGGACAGACATACAGAGGAGCTGCTTTCCAATATGTGCAGTGCACCCAGGGCAGGCTGATCCTGGGCACACTGGGTACAGCAAGTATCCCAGCCTGGTAGTAAATGCCTCCTGTGCTCAGGCCTGCAAAGCTGAGCTGGGGGCAGCCTGCACACTTGCCAGGACCTGGAGCAGGGGATGGATGGATTCATGGATGGATGGATGGATGGATGGATGGATGTTTGCCCAGACCAGCTTGCCTGCTGGCTCTGTGCTGTGCAGACAGCAGAAGCCTGAGCTGTCTGCAGTGTGAGCTCCTGGAAGGAGCCCCTGGAAGGGTTTTTTCTCCCCTGTGCCCTGTTCCTGGACACACAAGCTGTGATTTGTCTGGGGCAGCAGCATGGGAATGCTGTGGGTAGCCCCTGCCCTCCTCCCTGGGATCATCTGTGGTGCCTGGCTGAGAGTGAGTGGGACTGTGCATGTCCCCAGGTTGTGCCCGTGCTGTCCCTAGGAGGTCACAGTCTGGGTTTTCGGTGAGTGCCTTTGTCCCTGCTCTCCTCCCCAGATGATCGATGGCGAGGCCTTCCTCCTGCTGACGCAGGCTGACATCGTCAAGATTATGAGTGTCAAGCTGGGCCCCGCACTCAAGATCTACAATGCCATCCTCATGTTCAAGAATGCTGATGACACCTTAAAGTGACTTTTCTTCACCCAGCTGGGACCCTCTCTTAGCACTGGTGCTGCCAAACTGGTCAGGACAGAGATTCCCCCTGACCGACCACGTCTTGTCATGTCCTGCTCATGTCCTTTCGGGTGCTGCGTCTCTGCTCTCCCACCAGTCCATCTCCCATCCTCTCCTCTCCACTCCACACTGCCCTTCTCCTCCAGCGCCGGGCAAAGGCTGGCCCCAAGCCTTGGGGGGGCTGCAGGGCAGAGGGTTGATGTGGGACTGGCCTCTCTTAGTGTGACAGCAGCACCCAGTGTCCCGCTGTGACCTCATTGATTCAGGGGAGCAGTGTGGAGGGTGCAGCAGCTGGGGGCTGACACAACCAGTCAAACCACGCAGGTAAGGGAAGGACTGACTGCCTCCATACATCCTTGCACCCGTTTAAAGGCCGGTCTTGGCTTTGCTCAGCAGCTGAGAGAGGTTTTCATTTTTTACCCCAGTGTGTTCCTCTGGGGGCTCGTGCTGACATCGTTCCCAAGGGACACTCTCGAGGAGCTTCTGCTCACTTTGCCTTTGCCCTGAGTTCTTTTGACTTTCCCATTCTAAGGCCAGATGATGACTTTGCTTTGTTCCTTCACTACACTGGGAACCAGTGGCCCAACTCTTGCCCCTTCCAAGGAGCACCATGTCCTGGCTGCAGCTCTGCCTACAACCAGTGACCCTGCTTTCTTCCTCTTTATGGTAATGCAGCACTGCAGGGCCCCACAGGGCCTGGGTTGGTGAGTGCAGAGCAAGCTTTATTTCCTCTTGGGCTTAAGGCTGTCATGGCCAGCACATCTCTGGGAGCAAGGATGCTTGGCTAACTTGTTCCCCTTGCAGCAATTAGGAAATGCTCTGCAAAGGAGATTTGGACCCTCTTTGTTCCATGTATTGGGAGCAAGGCCCTTTCTAGAGCAGAGACAGCTGCCAAGGATAAGAAGCATCCATTCCTCTGTGGGCACATCTGTTTCTGAAGGTGTTCCTGAGTTGGCTGACTCAATCCTCCCAAGCCACCTTCTCCCCCTGTTTTGCCCTCACGGGGCCCCCGGGTTTTGCTGTGTGAAGAGCAGGATCCTCTGCTGGCCCTGGATCCCTCACCTGCAGAGCTAGAAGCGATTCAGCAGTTATCTGGGTTTCTTTCTGTCCCTTCAGTAACATAACACCTTTTCAACAAGGGTGCAGGCACTTTGGGAATGCTGTCCCTTCTAATGGACTCCAAAGCTAGGAAAGCCTCCATGCCTGGGGATCCTGGCAGACCTACAGTGATGTGATCCAAGTCCTACATCCACTTTCTTTCCCTTTCCCAAGAACAACATATGAGTAGCAAAACACTCTTTCCCCCTTTCCCAGTGCCCAAAGACAGGGATGAAGAGATCTTAGCAAGTGCACCAGCAATGTGTTTTGGAGCAGCACTGCCTTGGGAGCCACTGTCACACCTGGGTCAATCTGTTCAAGGCTTCCCATGGAAATGTAGCACTTTGTTATTGAATATCTGGGGTCACATTTGACCTGCTCTTGAGACGTCTGCTGCTTGCTCTTCACACAGGACTTGCAACTACTCCGTGTATTTGTTTTGTCAATGCTTGGGTTTGATTTAGGCAGCTCTCCCTCTCCTTTCCTTCTGTATGTTCTTCCATCTCTTCAAGCACTGCATTGTGGCCAGCTGTGGAGAGAAGAGGGGTGGGAATAACAGCCGTGTCTCTGGCTCCCGCACTTACTCCCCAAGTCACCCTTGATCCACAGTAAATGGCCCTGACGTTGGTCTCTTCACTTGATGGAGAGTCTCTTTGGGGCCACTGTGTGCTGAGGTGGAAGAAGAGGAGCCCTGGGGCCTTCAGCTGTGAGACTGTGAACAGTGCTGGGACTCTCCAGCTGGGATCTGGAATGGAACCGCTCCTTTCACAGGACATGGTTATTGAGCTTGTGAGGAATCATCTTACAGAAGCATCCTCTCCTGGCCTGCTCCACGCTGCCGCGCTCACTCATTCCTCCTGTTGGGGAAGGGACTAAGCCCGGCCCCAGGTGCTGGGAGGGAAGATACTGCCCTGGTATTGGATCTGAAACCAGTGTGAAGGATGGAGAGCCTCGTGCTGCCCTGCAGAGCAGAGGTGGTGGCGAGCTCAGAAGATCCCTGCTGGAGGGGAAGAGGAGCCAAGAGCCACACCACGGCTGACCCACAACACTGAGTACAACCGCCCCCACCAGCTCTTGCTCTGCTGTTGGGTGTGATAAAGCCATGCTCTGCATGGGCACCAGCAGGGAGCTCTGCCCATGGGGTGCTGCCTTACTCTGGGCTCTTCTGGCCTCCCTCTGAGTGAGATCACAAACCAGACAGTGCTGCCGAGGTGCTCCCCTTGGCTCTGGGGCCTGGCTGTGCAGTTGGACCCCAGGTCTCTGTTCAGGGAGGTGCTGCCAGGAAAACTGGCCCCACTGGAAGGGTGGTGTGAGGCCTCTGTCACACGCGCTTACCCGCTGTCTCCAGCATCACTTCATCAGCCTCTTGGGCCAGCTCAGCCATTTGGGTGCCAAGCTTCTGGGTTCATCTGGGTGAGAGTTACAGGGTTTTTCGGTGGTCAAGGGCTATTTACTGTTAAAACTTAGAACCTTCTTGTTTTCTTTAAAACCAAACCCAAAGCATTGTGTGTGTGTGTGTGTGTGTGTGTGGATGGGTGTTTGTGGAAGTACCATGACACCATTTCCCCTGCTGTTTGAGCGTTGCTGTTTTAATGTAGTGGTCTCTGTGGCTGTGGAGGCAGCAGGCTCTGGGCCAGGATCTCGGGTGCTGTGTTCTCTAGGGGCAGAGGTTGTCTCTGGTCCCAGCAGGAAGGCAGGAGAAGGAAGGTTTGCTGCACCCCTGCCCTCAGCAGGGCCATCTCCATAGAGCATTGACTGGGAGTCCCCCCTCAGGCAGCATCGAGGGCAGCTGTGACCAAGGCAGAAGCACCAAAGTTTTTCATCCTTCCCCTGTTGCGCAACCAAGCTCCTCAGGGGGATGTTCACTGCTGGGTCACTGAGGCCCTGGAGAAGGACAGTGGGGGCTGAGTGTGGCCACAGCTTCCTCGCTGGGGTCTTTCTGAGAGATGTGGCTGCAGCCAACGTTGCCAAGTCAATGAAGAGCTGTTCATTGAAGGGTTTGAAGGTAGAGGCCCCCAGCCTGTGCTCCTGCTGCTCTTGTTGGCTTGGGGAGATGTCCCACCATGTGCTGCAGACTCGGGCACGAAGTGTCTTTGGGGCTGCAGGTGCCCTGAGAGCAGTTGGAGCCTCTCCCTCCACATGGAAATGGGCAGCATCGTGGTGGTGCGAGGCCACAGTCTCCATCTCCATGAGAGCAGGCAGGAGCGTGGCCGTGCAGGCCTCTGCCTTCCCTTGGTGCCTTCCACGTCCATGGAGACAAGGCAGAAACCCTCCAAATGGCCTCGAAGGGCTGGCAGAGATTTTGCAGTGGCAAAGCTGGGGCTGGGAGTGCAGCTGAGGGAGCTGGGAGAGGGATGGGACTCAGCCTCTTGTGTTCCTCGCTTGCTCCCATCCACCCCTTCCCTCTGGCCCGGTGGCTGCTCATCCCTGCAGGGGCCCAGGGCAAGGTGCAGGGGCAGGAGGCAGCAGAAACCTTTTTGCACTTTCATTCATTTTGCACTTGTTTTTTTAATCCCCCCCCCCCCCATTTTTGAGGTTTGTGTTTTCATAACGAGACTGCTTCTGTTGTAGCCAGTGAAGCTATTCTGGAACTTTGTGTCCTGAGTATAAAGAGGTTTAAAGGTCCTATATATATAAATTTATAGCTGTCTCAAAGTAAATTTATATATATAGGGGACAGCGTGCTGTGTTTCGTCAGTGTTTTAAAGTAATAAACGACTGTGAGCAGTGGAAGTCTCTGCAGCTGGACACTGGTTATTCAGGCCTGGTGGCAGAAGGAAAGGGACAGACGCACCCACACCGCAGGGAGGGCTCACCCCCTGCCATGAGGTCTCTCTCTCTCTCCCATCCTGCCCCATGTCCCCGGGTGCAGCCAGTGGGGAGCGGTGATTTATCCCGCTGTGAGGAGATGCTGGAGCAGTCCCAGTGATGCCATCCTGGCCCGGTCACAGGGAGCTCTGGGTGCAGGGAGCAGCCTGGTGGCCACCTCTCCCCGCAGGCAGAATGCACGGCAGGCTGTGCCTGTCCTCGGCCACGATGAGCCCCAGCAGGAGCAGGACAGCAGCACCCAGGACCAGGCGCCCCACGTTGCTCCAGGTGTAATCTGCAGGAAGGGACAGTCACTGGGGACCCTCACATGGGAGCTGACAGACCAAAGGAGCCCTCCCATAGGGGCAGCAGGGGACACAAGGGGCACACATGGGGCTCCCAGGGCAAACAGACACACGGGCAAGGAGGCACTGGTGGGCTAAAGAGGGATAAAGGGCTCACAGGGAGCCCCAAGGGCTCTACCTCCCTGGGAGATCCCCTACCCACCCAGTGCACTGGTAACAGTGGGACACAGATGTGGGACTGGCCCTCAGCCAGACGGTGTCACCGTGACAAGATGTACAACTGTTACTGGGACCCTTGCCCCAGCCTTGTGTCATCTGTAGGGTCTCTGAGGAACTGGCAAGGTTCACACACGTCTGCAGGAAGCTGTAACCCTCTGCCTGAACCCCTATTGCACCTGATTCCTCCTCCACATCCTCTTTTCTAGTTCCTCCAGGGTGTGGCAATGGAGGAAGAGAAGGCTCAGATGCAGCTTGGGGGATGTCTCACCTTTCACCACCAAATCCAGGCTGTTGCTGACATCAGACCATTCCACCAGAGCAGCCCCGCTGTAGCACTGGCAGCTGTAGCGGCCCTCGTTGCCTTTGTGCACTCGGGGGAGGCTGAAATCATCTTGATCCTTATGAATTAAGTCAGGGGCTTTGTCCTGGCCCTCCCGGTACAGGAAACAGCCAGCACCGGTGTGTGTGATGGTGCAGCGGAAAGTCACAGCAGCTCCTGCAGCCACCTCAGGTCCCGGCAGGATGGAGAGGACGGGTCTGGGGAGACGGAACTCTGTTGGGAGAGGAGGCCATGGGAAGGCGTGCTGGGCTTTAACATGGTGCTGGGAGCCAGCAGCATCTCCATGAGCCCTGCACCTCGCTCAGGCACAGGTAAAGATGGTCCCCACCTCTCCAAACCAGGGAAGAAGGGGAAAAACACTGCCCACCATGTGCATGGGGAAGCCGAGTGCATCCCTGTGTGCCCCTTGGAGCCTGACCCCACTGAAGGGGTAACCGCACATCCCTCACCTCTCACCGTGATTTCCAGGGTCTCACTGCGAGCCAGCACAGTGCCTCCAGCCAGGTAATGGCAGCTGTAGGGACCTGCATCCTTTTGGGTGGCGTTAGAGATGGGGAACTCGGCCCTGCCATGGCGCAGCTCCCGGGCACGGAGCCGTTTGCCGTCCTTGTAGAGCACAACGCTCCCCTCGTCACACTGGCAGCTGCAGCAGATGGTGGTGGAACCTCCGGGGGGGATCACCCCAGGCGGCTTCAGGAAGATGGAGATGGTGGGGGCACCTGTATAGGGACAGAGACGCTGCCATGGTGGGGGTACCTGTATAGGGACAGAGATGCTGCCATGGTGGGGGTACCTGTATAGGGACAGAGACGCTGCCATGGTGGGGGCACCTGTATAGGGACAGAGATGCTGCCATGGTGGGGGTACCTGCATAGGGACAGAGACGCTGCCATGGTGGGGTCACCTGCATAGGGACAGAACTGCCATGGTGGGGGACCTGTATAGGGACAGAGATGCTGCCATGGTGGGGGCACCTGCAGAGGGACAGAGATGCTGCCATGGTGGGGGCACCTGCATAGGGACAGAGATGCTGCCATGGTGGGGGCACCTGCATAGGGACAGAGACGCTGCCATGGTGGGGGCACCTGCACAGGGACAGAGACGCTGCCATGGTGGGGGCACCTGCACAGGGACAGAGACGCTGCCATGGTGGGGGCACCTGCATAGGGACAGAGACGCTGCCATGGTGGGGGCACCTGCATAGGGACAGAGACGCTGCCATGGTGGGGGCACCTGCATAGGGACAGAGATGCTGCCATGGTGGGGGCACCTGCATAGGGACAGAGATGCTGCCATGGTGGGGGCACCTGCATAGGGACAGAGACGCTGCCATGGTGGGGGCACCTGCATAGGGACAGAGACGCTGCCATGGTGGGGGCACCTGCATAGGGACAGAGACGCTGCCATGGTGGGGGCACCTGCATAGGGACAGAGACGCTGCCATGGTGGGGGCACCTGCATAGGGACAGAGATGCTGCCATGGTGGGGGCACCTGCACGGGGACAGAGACGCTGCCATGGTGGGGGCACCTGCATAGGGACAGAGATGCTGCCATGGTGGGGGCACCTGCACAGGGACAGAGATGCTGCCATGGTGGGGGCACCTGCACGGGGACAGAGACGCTGCCATGGTGGGGGCACCTGCATAGGGACAGAGATGCTGCCATGGTGGGGGCACCTGCACAGGGACAGAGACGCTGCCATGGTGGGGGCACCTGTATAGGGACAGAGACGCTGCCATGGTGGGGGCACCTGCACAGGGACAGACGCTGCCACACTGACACAAGTCCCCGTGGCGAGCCTGGAGGTGGCTTCAGGCCCCATCTCCACACAGGGGTGAGGTTTGTTCTGCGGTGCTGGGGTGGGGGAGCAGAGAAGTGTCCCAGCTCCCCATCTCCCTCCCGTGGTACTCACCGGCTGCAGCCTCGCTCTGCACCAGCAGCCAAGTGCCTGCAAGAGAAGCAGCTGTGTGATGCCTCTGCAGAGGGTCCGGAACCCTCACACCACCCTCTGAGACCCCCAGAGCCCCTGGCACTCACCGAAGGCCAGCACAGGGGTCACGGCCAGCACCATGTCCCTCTTGGCTCCCTCTGTCCTTGGCTCAGGCAAGGGAAGGCTTTGGAGGCACTGAGCAGCTTCTTGTGGGTCCCGATATCCCCCCGCTGCCACAAAGCACCTCCTATTGCATGGCTTCTGCGGGGCTGGGATGGTTGAACGGGAACCAGGATGTCCAAGTCACCAATCCAGAGCTGGGCATCTGTGACGATGTGCTCTTAGGATCCTGCTGACCTTAGCAGTAAAGCTCTCTGGGCTTTTCGTTTCTTTTTCAGCCCTGGTCACTTGAAGGGGAAATGGTTTCTCAGCCTTTGCGAAATAGGGCGATGTTTTGTAAGCAGGGCAGGGGAAGCTGCAGGATTCCTTGGTGAGAAGGGTCCAGCAACGCGTGACACCATAAAATCACTGTTCCAGTAAGACTGGATGAAAAGCAGATGTAGAATGCAAGTGAATCTTAGGTCCCTTTGGAGGCAGGACACCCCCCACGCTCCTGCAGCACTGATGGAGCCAACTGTGGAGATGTCCCCAGCATCTGAAGGGATGTAAGATCTTTGTTCTCCCTTTTTTCTTCTCTGCCCCTAAACCAGGTGGGTTATTGCTCCATTTGTTGTCACATCTTGCTCACTGAGGCCGGGAAGTCCTCGGCACTGTGCCATGCCCCCTTGTCAGGCTCAGAAGCCCTGCATGGTGCCCCCACCACAGTGCAGACGGAAAGGATCCCATGGGTCATGGAGCCCCAGACTGGTTTGGGTTGAAGGGACCTTAAAGCTCACCCAGGTCTAACCCCTTCCACTGGAGCAGCTTGCTCCAAGCCCCTGTGTCCAACCTGGCCTTGAGCACTGCCAGGGATGGGGCAGCCACAGCTTCTCTGGGCACCCTGTGCCAGCGCCTCAGCACCCTCACAGGGAAGAGCTTCTGCCTAAGAGCTCAGCTCAGTCTCCCCTCAGGCAGGTTAAGGCTGGTCTGGCCACAGGCTATGTCCAGACTGTGCTCTCCCCACTGCTATGGCACAAGTTTGGTGACTCCAAGAGCGGAACAGGAAGGAATTAACTTGGCTTCTCTTGTGGCTGTTTTTGGCCTCCTCCCTTTCCATCCCACCTGCCCTATAGCCTCTCTCATTAGAGCAGGGGCAGCGATACTAGCAACGCTTTCTACCTGTAGGTCTGGAGCACCCGTCCAGGCCTCCCCTGTCCTGTGCTGGAGCAACAACAGGCTCCTTGCTCCAAACAACCTGGCCTCCATCCTCAGCTGCCTGGTCTGGGCTGCCCAGTGCTGTGGCCAGAGTTCCCTTTGGTGGTAGCGGAGGGTTAATGAAATAGGGGAAGATGCTTTGGGTGATGCGGGAGCAGGGAAAGGATGGGCTGTGGGACTGTTCCCCACTGCCTGTGTCCCTGAAGATGCCTTTCTCAGTGCCCTCCTGTTCTCCCTGTCCCCACACAGCTCTTGTGCCTTGGCTGTGTGTTCATGGGGACCCAGGTAGGGACACCCCTCAGAGGTGACTTGTTTGAAGGAGTCAGGCGGGCTCATTGTTACCTTCTGCCCAGGGCATGGGGAGCTGGAAGAGAGCTGCGGAGCCTTCCCTCCCATCAATCCCACCCAGCCCTTCAACCCATGGCCACGCCTCCCCCATCCCACAGACATGTCCCAAAGTTGTCCCCTCCTACAGGTACCCATCACCCCATACGCATGCTCCACTTCCTCCCTACCCCATTTCCATGTCTCCATGTTCTTCCCACTCCACTGCTATGTCCCCCCATGCCCCATCATATAGCCACATGTCACTGTCCCCCAGCCTATAGCAATTCCAACTATATCCCCACGTGCCGTGGTGATGTGCCCCTGCTCACAGCAATCCTACCCCATAGCTGTGTCCCATGTAACTCCATCACCCCATAGCTGTATGCCCATGGGTCCCACTGCATTGCCATAGCCCCATGGCCACCTGCCCACAGCCTTATCCCCACAGTCTTGTGGGCCATACCCCAGTGGACCCCATCTCACTGCTATGGTCTTGCATGCTCTGAATCACATTCCTACACCTCTTGCCCCATAACCATGCCCCTGAAGCCCTCCTCGATGGCCATGGCTCCATGGCCTCAGTCCCATAGCCGTGCCCTCCCACTGTGCTCTGTGCAATAGACACATTCCCATCAATCTCTGACCCATCACCATACCCCAGTAGCCCCATCCCTACAGCTGTGTCCCCACTGCCCCATTACCATCATCCCCAGCCCATAGCCATACCCCTATCCCCAATGGCCCCCACCCTACAGCCACACCCCCATTGCTATCGCCTGACGGTCCTTGCCCCATGGCCGTGTCCCCACGTATCCCGTCCCCTTGCCCCATTGCCATCTTGCTGCCCTCCCCCCGCACCGCCTCCTCCCTGCCCCTGTGTCCCGGCCCCTCTCTTGCTCCAGCTCTGGGGATTAAAATGCCCGGAAAGGAGAGGCGGGTGCAGCGGAGAAACGAAACCACCGGGGCTGCGGGGGAAGGGACCGCCCCCCCCGGCACTGCCGGTCATGGGCACGGCGCAGCCGGACGCGTGAGTGCGAGCAGCGGGACCCTGGGGGGCTATGGGGGACGGGGGGGGGATGGCTGGAGCCCGCCGGGGTCACTGGGGCTGTCGGTGGGACTGGGGAGCCCCAAGGGTTGCTGCGGGAGGTGGGGATCATGCGGGGCTGAAGGGAAGTTTCGGTGCTGGAGCAGCCCAGGGAGAGACGGGGGCTTGGGGAGGGGGGGGCATCCCTGAAGTGGTTGTTTCAGGGGGTGCTGTAGGGAGATGGAGCCCCTGACCCCCCCCCGAAGAAGGGGACATCCTGGGGTTCCATGGGGGTCCTGGTTACCCCTGGAGCCCCCATTCTCTTTGCTTTGCAGGCAGGCATTCTGCCAGCGGGCACCCGTCTTCCTTGACTACCTGCAGAGCATCCTGCAGAAGTACCCCGACGGGGGGCAGATCCTCAAGGTGAGAGGATCCCAGCACGCCGGTGCCCAGCGGGTTGGTGCTTTACCCTGCGGGCTATGGGGGGGGCACTGATCCCTGAATCCCGACTCCAGGAGCTGGTGCAGAACGCTGACGATGCCGGCGCTAAGGAGGTCGTGTTCGTGTCTGATGAGAGGGAGTTCGACATCGGCAGAGGAGGGCTGGAGGGCACCCAGGGTGAGAAGCACTGCGGGCACTGGGAGAGAGGGGGCAAAGGGCAGGGGTGACACTGGGGGAGACTGGGGGATGTGGGTGAAGAGGAGTCAGAGCGGACTGGGAGAACTGGCAGCAGGGAGGTGTTCAGCGCTGTGCTGGGCGCACTGAGGGTACTGGGAGGACTCAGTACAGAGAACTGGGGGGGACTTCTGTGTGACTGGAGGGGGGACTGAGGCTGTGGGGACACTGAGCATGGGTCACAGTTCCCCTTGCACATCCCAACCCTCCCCTAACCCACGGTCCTGCCCTCCCAGGCCCAGCTCTCCTGGCCTACAATGATGCCCTGATGTGCCCCCGGGACTGGGCAGGGATCCTGAGCCCAGGGGTGTCGCACAAGCGGAAGGACCCCGGCACCGTGGGGCGGTTTGGCCTGGGCTTCACCTCCGTCTACCACCTCACTGGTGAGTGGCACTGGGGGTTCAACTGGAGTTGAACTGGGGGTATGGGTGGTACTGGGGGCACTGAACTGGCTGTGGGTGATGGGGGGTCACTGAGGGTGGGTGAAATGGGGGGGCTGTGTCTGAAGTGAGGACACCTGAAGCTGGGGGGATGCTGGGGAGAGGCTGGGTGGCAATGGGGGGCAGGGCTGGGGTGGCAATGGGGGGCAGGGATGGGGTGGCAATGGGGGGCAGGGCTGGGGTGGCAACGGGGGGCAGGGCTGGGGTGGCAACGGGGGCAGGGATGGGGTGGCAATGGGGGGCAGGGCTGGGGTGGCAATGGGGGGCAGGGATGGGGTGGCAATGGGGGGCAGGGATGGGGTGGCAACGGGGGGCAGGGCTGGGGTGGCAATGGGGGGCAGGGATGGGGTGGCAATGGGGGGCAGGGATGGGGTGGCAATGGGGGGCAGGGCTGGGGTGGCAATGGGGGGCAGGGCTGGGGTGACAACGGGGGCAGGGATGGGGTGGCAATGGGGGGCAGGGCTGGGGTGGCAATGGGGGGCAGGGATGGGGTGGCAATGGGGTCAGGGCTGGGGTGGCAATGGGGGGCAGGGATGGGGTGGCAATGGGGGGCAGGGATGGGGTGGCAATGGGGGGCAGGGCTGCAGGGGCAGACTGAGGGGGGCTTGATGAAGTGGGATTAAGCTTCAGCTCATGGGAGGCGCTGTGGGGTTGCACTTGAGGGTAAGCGGGTGGGAACCTGGGACTCCGATGGGTTGGGATGATGTGGGGAGGCGGTGGCGTCCATGCCATCCCTGTGGGCTCATGGTCCCCATGTCTCCAGACCTCCCAGGTGTGCTGAGCCCCCCATCCTTGGGGGTGCTGGACCCCGAATGCCGGGTGCTGCCAGGCGCCGGTGCCCGCTGGGATGTCTCTGCAGCCCAGGACCTTCCTGGCCTTTTCGAGCCCTTCTGGGCTGGGCTGGAGGCTGTGGGGCAGCGCCGTGGCTCTGCCCAGGGCACCCTTTTCCGCTTCCCCCTCCGCCGGCAGCCCTCGGGGATCGCTGCAGGGGTCTCCCATCCCGAGCGCATCCGTAGCCTCCTCCAGACCTTCCTGACCGAGGCCCCTCTTGCCCTCCTCTTCCTCCGCCACATCCGCCGCGTGACCTTGTACCACGTGGCCCCTGATGGGGTCCGGACGCTCATGGGGACCCTCGCGGCATCCCCTCTGCCTCTCCCTGTCCCAGTGCCACCAGGGGACGAGGGGCTGAGCCTGGCATGGTGCCTGCTGGCCCTGCATGGGGATGGAGTGGGGGACAGGAGCGAGTGGCTGGTGGCCACGGGCAGGGCCACGGAGGGTCCGGCCGTGAAGCTGGGGGCAAAGCTGGGGTGCTGCCCTGAGCTGAGCCTGGCGCACCCCCTCCACGGGCCCTGCCGAGGGCGGCTGTGCTGCTTCCTACCCCTGCCAGCCACTGACGAGACCGCCACAGGGCTGCCCGTCCATGCCAGTGCCCCCTTCGCCCTCTCCGACGACCGCCGCCACCTCCGCTGGCCCGAGGAGGGTGAGGAGGGTGAAGACGATGCCCGCTGGAACACCCTGCTGCTGCTCGGCCTCCTGCCGCGGCTCTACAGCCACATGGCCGCTGTGGCCACAGCCCTGCCCGGCACCGATGCCTACAGCACATGGCCAGACCCTGAGCT